GGGATGAAGTCCCTTGGCTCGATGTCACCGCGGTAATGAACCAGTACTGAGTAAATGACCCGACGCATGGAAGTAAAAAGCACACCCTTACGTATGTACGGAGGAAGTTCTGCCCTGGTTTTACATCTCGTTCCATGGCCGCTTGTCAGATTCAGGTATTTTGTAAAATGGCCCCGGGAAGATCGCTGGTCATCTTGACGAACTGAACTGCCACTGGAACAATAAGTCAAAGGAAATAATGAAAATGATAGCGAGGGGTCGGTTTAAGGCACCGACATTCTATTTTAGCTATGGACGGTCCAATATTTTCGAGATTGATCCTTGTCACCTAAGCAAATTAACCTAATCTTTTACTACTAGTTAGTACTCCGTACAATTACAGTAGAACTCAAGAACCCGCGCGGGATGGCAGGGCTAGAGTCTAGAGAAGGGCACCACGTTGGAATGGATCGTCCGAGAACGACTAAGAGTCGCCGACTTCTATCCTGTCTACTGAGTAAGATTATGCCGGATGTCCTCTCGACCCGAGGCTTGATCAGACTCCGTAATCAATAACCATCCACCTCCATCTACTCCGTACGGAGGACTGAGGATCAGAAAAAGGGCAACGCAACGCATCCAGGAGAATTTCTGTGCCAATCGAAAAGGGGTGGGGTGGATTGGAACAAGCTGTTCCAAATCCAGGATGAGCATCAGCCAGTCCCCGTGCAGCCAATTTATTTATCAATTTATCGCAGAGATCGGTGCTCCCGGGAGGACGTCACTACCGAAGTACTATCAAAGTTCCCGTCCCTAACTCCATAGTTTAGTACTACTACGGGAGTATATGACTATGACCATGTCATCCATACTCGATCGCCTCGTCTTTTGATCCCCTCCATGGCAAGAAAATGAAATGGAATCACCCTGAATTGTCCACCTAGACCAATTCCAGAGCGGTGTGCATCACCCAGGCTAGCCGGGGTTTAGTCCTGACAGTGGAAGGCTACGGACTGGAGACGGGTGGTTTGGAATGAGGCAGTGCTGGTAGATTACCAGCTAGGAGCAACCACTGACAATCATCACAATAATGCCACTCGACGCTTGCTCCATTCGACCCCATCACGCTATTGGAAGTCTGAGTCTGAGTATGGGGACGCAATAATCAAGGTTTCTACAACTGCCTGCCTAATAATGATGTCTGATATTCGGATCTTGCCACGAGTTATTTTTTTTCTTTTGCCCCCCTCTTTGATTTGACTCTCTTTTTTAACTCCGCGGTATGGATTCTTGCCTTGGCTACGGCGTACTCTGTATACTTACTGGAAATGTTCCTTTTTATTTAATTTTTTATTTCTAATTGTTAATGTTTCCTCCCCTCACCATATCCATGTGCTTTCCTTGCTGACCCTGCGTATTCCAGCCTTTCCAAGTCGTGTGCACCACCAGGTGAAGAAGGTCTCTTCCGGAGTACAACCGTCCATTGCGGGTCGTATCGAGGCTTGAAGTTAATCACTGAATTCTCATCGGTAGTCTTTCATAGTAAATGCGCGGAGTTCTTGTCAGTGTTATAATTTATTTCATTTCACTTCCCCTCCGTTCCTTTTCGTACAGTAACCAGAAAAGTAAAAAAAAAAAAAAAAAAAAAAAAACCTTGACCAGGACTAAATCTCCCGAACTGCAAAAAACCCAAACACGACAGACTGACTCATTACGCCTTACCATACCACCAGACAGAAACATGGAATCGTCAGCGTCATCACCATATGGCAGGAATCCTCTTTCCAGAAGGAAACACCAGAATTTCACCCAGGGAAAGGGAAAAAAGGGCCCAGGGCCGAAAAGAAAAGAAAAGAAAAAAGGGTACCGAATACATGCAACCCGACTACATGCAGCCCGCCCCACCTTGAATTTTGTTGCCGGTCAGCGACAGCCAACGATCACTGGCCTTGTCGAGCTTGACCCGCCGCCAATGCTGGTCTAGTGGGTTCCACTAGCTCCTTAGATACATGCACTGCCACATTGCTGTCATTTGGCATTTCCCGTCGCACCTTGCGATCCGAGGAACTCCCTGGATACGAACGGATAATATCCTGATACATGGGAGAAAGGGGGGGAGGGGAATACAGTAGTTGGAAAATAGTAACCAACAAGTCTTACAAAAAAAATTTTAAAGGGTGGAAATACAAGGAGAGGGGGGGAAGAGGAGATTCTGAGATGGAAGGATCTGCCTTGGATAATGTGATTATATTCCATCTTCAAGTATTCTTGGGAGGAGGGATTGGATCGTGGATTTGAGTCAAGAAAGACTATTATTCTATTGGGCCCTTTGCCAGAATCCAAGTCATTAATCTGGGCCTGATATCCTGTTTCGTATACTCCGTAGGGCAACGGGGCCTGCGGTGAGAGAGTTCAGAGTACGCAGTAAATGCCCGTCCAATTTATTTCTTGGATGGAATATGTAAGACTCATATTATTCACCCAGGAAGCACTTTTCTTCTCTCCATCTTCTTGGTTATTATCCTGTTCCGAAGTCCGCTCCACAAGATCTTTTGGTGCCCTTCATCCCCCTACCGCGTATCTTTCTCTTAAATCGGGTCCAGAGAGACCATCATTGAATTCATCAGTTCGAATATCGCAAACAAACATACCATGACATTCGGAGGTCTACCATTCCAGTATAAAAGAGATACCCCATATGGTGTACATGCTCAAAGGGCCCTTCTAATGACAATAATGCTAACCAAGACCCAAATTAAAATAAATTAAAAATGTCCCGGAAGCGAAGAGGCAAAAGAGGCAACAAACAGATCTGCAAGACATTTCGCGCCTTGTTCCGCTTCTCTGTACACCGAATGCGTATGTGTATATCAAGATTTTCACTCTTATAGTTTATTCCCATCTACTGACTGAACCCTCCCAACCGTCGCCACTCGCCAATATGTCCTACACAACGTCGGCAAGACTCATTCAATTCCAATCGGTACTCCCTACCAGTGAGGGGCAAGGGAAAGGGCCAAGAAACCCATTCTCACCTCGATCATGCAGTTTCTCTAAATCTTACGAGCCCACCGACCAGCACACGCACAGGACACGCATGCATGCATCCACAGGTGGCAATCCAACCGATGGGATTGGATTCAGAGTGCTAGCTTCCCGTTTGTAAGGCGAGAATTTAGCTTTTTCGCTTCATATATTTTAATTTTTTTTTTTTCTTACTGAGCTATGTTATTGCCCTGATTGTCTCAGTGTTCAGTAAGTGATTATGTACTGTAGGGGGCCACAGAACACAGTAAGCATGGTTTTCCAAATCATCTCGAAAATCCCGGCGGGCTATTCACGGAGCATATCATGGTTCTTGGCCAGCAGAACGAATTACTAGAAACGGGGAACTAGAAATCCCTCGTGCACTATATATAGATGGCGATGTTGGACGGAATCTATATCTGCTGTGCCAGTCAGACGGGTTACGATGACTGGACGACGAAAGTCCCCTGTACACAGAGTTGCGCGTCCAACAAAAACACAGCGACAGGGAATTGTACGAGGCGGGACAGAAATGGCCCAAAAAGGTGAAGTCTATTCCCGTAGCCTGTAAGAAGTGCCGTCAGCCTTAAGCCCTAACAGGCTGCAGACCAAAGTCTCGTGCGCAGGCTAAAAGTTAAAGGACTAGAATTGTATACCTGTGACCCGAGGAGCTGTTTCTTTATTTTTGTTTTTATCGCTCTTTGTACCTATGCTTATTATTGTCACCCTCCTTCGTGTAGCCTATACTGTGTGGGAAAGGTCAAGCATTATTTACCTAGCCAAATAGCTGTAGTGACGTCTTGGCCCGAGCCTGTTGCACGTTGTCAATGTCCCCTTAAAGCCCCTGCACGTATTCTGACAACTCGGGACCCAGTTACCGACTGACTAGGGAAGTATTATTGTTGGCTTGACCCGTTAATGTCGCAGGCATGAAACCGGCGCTAACCGATGGACAATAGCAACTGAACGTACTGGCCATAGTATACTCCCTAATCAGTATACCTGGGCCGCAGGAGAAGAAAGGGTCGCACAGACAGTGCGTGGATGATCGATCGACATGGACTTTGTATGGCGCGGTGCATATCTGAAACCCGCCTTTGAATCCTTGGCGCTAAGGGAACACCAATCACGCCGTGAAGGGTCTTGAGGTTATCCGGTGTATTCCCGCTTTCCAATTTCCAGAGACACTGACGCTGACGAGGAGCACGTCTTTTGGGATATCATCTTCGTCCGCGGTAATTACTATAGGTTTACGTCAGTCGTACGTACTACCTAGACACGGTAGGGGTGGCTGTATCTTTCGGCTTCAAGACGGATTGGCTACATGGGCGTGATCTTTCTCCTGCCCAATCGCTTTGTCGTACCCAAGCTTAATACAAGCTATATCTTGCCACTTCAGAGTATGTGCGGACAGATCTCAGACCGGAGAGGATTTGAGCAGGTCGGTAGTAGACCCCTGATATAGCGGCATCACCTGGACTCTATCCCGTCCTCGCCAGGGAAAGATGGCAACCTTCGCAATCATGCATTGGCTGCGATAGAAAGGCAAATCGAGTATCGGGTCACACCAAGGTGGGTGACTGGAGTTACAGGCGGGATGAGGGGTAGCTTCAAGATTGTCGGACGGATTTCGGTCTCAACTCTCACCTCCAAAACTTCCCAACGCTAGATCATCTTTAGTGGATGGTTAGGGCCTGGAGAGATTCCTACCGTTCCAACTCTAAGACGAAGCCGGTAAGGATGTTTGCGGGGTCTCCGATCATGCATGCCTCAGGATTCCACCGACCGGGCCTTGGCCGGCTGCTCCTGTCTGCCCTTGCCCTTACCCTACACCCTAACTGCCAGCCGCTTTGGGCACACTGCCGTTGCCGCGCCCGCCATGCGATCACATGCTGGAAACCAATCAGACGCGGCACCCGAAGTCTTGGCTCCAGATATCGCAACGTCTAACCCGAACCAGCGGCGCCTTCATCAGCAAATATCCTATCATTCTGCTCATTCTGGTTATTGTTTCAACCCTTGTGACAAGGACCGTCCATCGCTGTCCGCTTTACCGCCCTCGCTTTCTCTCGAGTTGGACGGTCTCGTCCCGCTCAATCAACCATGGCCATGGATCAGATTCCCGGCCAGAATATCTACATAGGAGGGTACGATCTCGCCTTACCCTGGGTAGCGAATACGCCGTGATTCCGACAATAGCGGGGCTTGCGTATCGGCAGACGCAAGGGATCACCGTGCAGAGGGATCCCAATAGACGCTTTTTTGATGGTTTACAAGCTGACTGATGGGTTCGAAATGTAGCGTTTTCGCGCTCAAGAACAAAGCGGCCCTGAGTCGCGCGAACATTACCCACATCCTTTCAGTGGTCAAACTACAACAAGTGGATGACATCTTCGAATCGTATCAGCATCACCAAATCGATGTAGATGATATGGACGATGAGAATCTCTTAGAGCATTTCCCGTCTGCCATCAAATTCATTCAGTCCGGCCTGGATGCTGGCGGAAGCGTGCTTGTTCATTGGTCAGTGGTCTCTTTCGCTTTCCGCTTGTTACTCTTCACATGTATATTGCTCTCTTTTGCATTCTCTTTCTTTCCTGTTCTTCTTGGCCTTGGTTGATGTATACCCTGTGTCTTGTCACGTGTTTCCATGTTGATCACCCCGAAACTGTATCTCTGCTTCACGGACCTACTACGAGCCATGATGATGATTTCTCGCCGTTCAAAATGTCTCGCTGACCCTAAATAGTGCGATGGGGAAGTCCCGCTCGGCCGCTGTCTGCGTTGCCTATTTGCTCCACCAACAGCCCAGTGCACTAACACCACAGTCCGCCCTTGGGGTGATTCGCCAGAGTCGAGCATTTTGTGAGCCAAATGACGGGTTCATGGAGCAATTGTCTATCTACCATGAGATGGGCTGTCCGGATGACGTTACCAGCCATCCTCTCTACAGTCGTTGGCTTTACCGTCGCGAGGTCGAAGACAGCGTAGCATGCGGACGGGCGCCGGAGATGAAGTCCGTGCTTTTCGAAGACGAGCAGCAGAGAGCGCAGGAGGCCACAGATCGAACAAGGGAAATCAAATGTCGTAAATGCAGGTGAGTCCTGCATCTGCGGCAGCCAAGATTTCTCCTAAGGAAGGCTATCGTTGCCACAAATTTGCAACTGCTAACCTAGTTTCAAATAGGCGGACGCTGGCAACCACGCCATTCGTCATCCCGCATGGACAGCAACAGGGCGCGAATGCATCGAATGATTGTGCCCACATCTTCCTACATCCGCTGACATGGATGCGTCCGTGCCTTTTCCCCAACAGCGCCCCTGACGCTTCGCCTTCCGAAGAGGCGCCGCTCTCCGGCCGCTTGACTTGCCCGAACACAGCCTGCGGGTTCAACATCGGCAAGTTTGCGTGGCAGGGGATGAAATGTAGCTGCAACGAATGGGTGGTACCCGCCATTGGGCTTGCCAAGGCCAGGGTTGACATTTTTGATCGAGTCAACGCGGGACTTGGATCGGGGAGGTTGCCGCCGGCAGCGTTGGGCATCCGGTTGCCGCCCGGTATGAGACCCAATAGCGTTGACGAGCCAAATGGGGGGCGAGGAAGTCTGTGAAGACGCCAGACAGTGACGAACACACGCTAAAGGCAAATCAGCGTGGCTGAGCACATCTCAAATTCTCAGGACACGAAGGATCGCTCGAGCACTTTAAAATCAAATTTTAGAATATTTAGCAGCCACATTTAACGCGAGGCCTTGCATCCACATACGTCACGTGGGATTACGATCATCGCCGGCTCTCTTCACTAATTAGGCCGAGAGCCGGGGATAATCTCACAAAGATCAACGCCACGAAGCCTATTATCTTCATTGCTTCTGTTTTCTTTTTTCTTTCAGGGGCTGGAAGCAGTGGGCCCGTTCGATTGCCAAGAGAAAAAGGAAACAACAAAGTCTAGATCGCTAGATGGCAAGACGTCCGACGCCTTGGAAAGGGGACTTGGTAGACCAGAGAAGCGAACTGCGGGCAGTCCTGCAGTCGTTGGAATAATAAGAATAGATGAGGCTAGACCCGAGAGCATTGACAGGTATTTTTATATCTGGACAATGCTACAGCAATAGGGTCCGGTCTAGACTTGTTTCAGTGTGACTTTGAAACTGCGCGTGCGTGTGATTTCATAGGACCCTGATGTCGATCATTCCCGAGCGGCCTAAGACGCGCCGTTAGTCTTGAAGATAATAGATAGGAAACAGGAGATAGCAAGTGTCCCACCGACCCAACAACCACCGAAAAAGACGCACGAATTACCTTTCAAGATGAACTGTGTCCGGACATGCCAACCCAGTCTCTACTTCCGTCATATCATCCACACGGTGTACCTCAGGATGGCACCACCCCTGCTTACCAGTTTGCCTCGAAGCGCTAGAAACCTGTCAGGATCCAGGGCTCAACCCCACATCCCCATGAGGCTGTTTTAAGGCAGCCCCACGAGAGCACGAAGCGACCAATCACGACTAGAGCATAGACCCGGGATCTGCACCGTGGGAAGATCGGGAGAACAAACTTCGCAATCTTGCACAGTTCCTGGGCCCGATTATTAAGCCGGGGCGGGCAGTAGTAGCCGCCTAGCTTGCCTAGTCGGGACTAGTCTGACAATGCTCCTTGGTCATTGCGTAGCCTAAGGGGGAGAGGAGGAGGAGGAGGAGGAGGAGGGGAGGGTAAACTAAGGTTAGTGGGAGTTTAACTAACGCAGGACTTTTTTTTTCTGTTCCTTTTTTTTTTCTCTCTCCTGGAAAATGGGATAGGACAGGAAGGGGGGAGGGCACTTAGGGGGGGCGAGGGGAGAGACCGACTTAGTCTAGCCCTTTTTCCTTAGCTCCGGCACGGGGGCTGTGCAAACTACTCTTACGCAACTGGGGCAGCCAAAGACCCATGGATGGAATCGCTTCCGTTGTCCGTATCCATCCCATCTTACCTATCCCATCCTAGCCTTACCCAGGACCTACCGAGTCGGGTCTAGTCCGGCCGGTACCTTAATCTGCAAAAAAAAAAAAGCGACGGCGCCTTCAGACGAAACATGGATACCACCTTACCAGCGTAATTCTGTCTTTGGGTAATTTTCACTTCCCCCATCCGGAGGTGCCCTCTTCTCCTCCACTTGGGTAATTTCAGTACGCGGACCAGACCGCCCTCTTTTTTTTTTTCTCCCTGCAGTTTGGACCTTTTGATCCATTCTGAAATCTGGAAATCCTTCCATTCCTCCAGATCCAATATACCTCGAGCAGAAAGCGTTGACTGATTTGCTTGGCCCCCCCCTGGTTCCATGAATCCGTTACTCATCGCAAATACACAGTAGTAACTAGGTACGGTAGGTAACTCTCCTCTTCCTGTTTTAGGAATCCCCCTCTGCAATCATTGCCTTAATGAACACTTCCGAATGGAGCAGGTCTGTCTGCATCTGGTAAGTGACGTCACGCTTTTTTTTCCTTTTTCCTTCGTTTCTACTACGGTGTAGAGCACCACCCCTACTAGACTGGGTACCTACAGTACTGCCGCTGCGTCACACTCACCACTTGCCCCTTCGAATTACTCTTAACTCCTCGGCGGGGACAAAAAGCCCTAACCTAGATTCTTCGATTCCATATGATGGATGATCTCCATAATCTACCTGAGCGTCGCTACAGTGACGATTGAATCCTAGTCACATGATCAGTAAATAAGCCGTTCTGTACCTGACCAGTCACAGTACCTATCAAGAAGGCTATGTATAATAATACCTGTGTGGCAATGTTCTCGGTCAAAGAGGTCTAGTATGGTTGATTTAAACGGTGGGTTATGAGCCTGCGTCATATGCACACTTGAGGCGTGGGGAGCCGGAGAGGGGGGGAAGGGGGAGGGGTAAGTTCAACAATGAGGTTTGATTAGAAGGGACTTATTGAATTCTTATTCATTAATCGAAAGCCTATCTGATTAAGCGAATAGCAGTATTCCGGAAAGTGTAAGGGGAGTAGTGGTTGGTCTACTCTCCCACATGAGCAGAAAGGCCAACATGCAATCCCATAAGGATTCCACCATCCAACCCGCCATATATAGTGCCATACAAACTTGGGGCGAGCTCACCCGCTGCGACCCCAGCAGCGTCCGGTGACAGAAAGCCTCTTCAGTATACTCATAGACCCTGAAGAACGCTAATAATATTGTCATTTAACACACCATTTCCCCATCTCAATACTGCCAAGAGGTGGCGTAAAAGACTTAGTGAACCGTGCCTAAGGGTCGTCCTCCAAGTCCCTAGGCATACCATGTAGAAGTCTTCTTCTTCAGGCCGCTGGAAGTGCAGCCAGAGTTCGTGAATCGGGCCCTCGGTGGTGACAGAAAAGGCCAAGGTGAATTTGTCGTCAGATAACGCTTCAGTTGACTCTTGAATAATACTTTGACTTCCCTCGCTGAGATCTGAAAGATTTTTGAAGATCTGGAGGGCTGTTGAGCCGCAAACCGCAGCTTGATTTTGTGCTTTGTAGAGATTCCCACCGGTGGCACCAGCCTTCGCTTCGACTATCAGAAAGGGGAAACGAAGGCCCTGGGGGTTTATGTGTGGGTCACTGATTAGGCTGGAGGTATCTTGCAAGTCAAGTAATAAGCTTCGCGCGACACTGCGTCCCTTTGTAGGCTCAAGGGCGCTTGCTAAGCTCTTGTCCGACAGACCGACACATATATCTGGTCGAGGATCCTTGAGCTTGAGCACAGGAATGGTTGGTTCGACTGCGACTGCATGTGAGGCATGAGGAGATGGATGTAGGCTGTCAGTGGTTGTGTTTCCTGGTAAAAGTTGATGTGACTGGGTTCGCTTTCGCGGGATTGTAGGCAGAGGGTTGTGCACTGGAGGTTTCAAGTCTTCTCGCCAGTCTTATGGAAAAGTTAGCACTAGAAATACCTGTAAGTGAATACTATGGAAACGGCAACCTGCCTCCGCTACGTGCAATCTCCAGCGCTGGGGGTCTCAAGTCGTCAATTGCGGTGTACAAGGCTGCTAGCCATTCAACTTTGCCTGCAGATTTCTTGACCAGTTCTTTAGATTCGCTCCAGAACTTTTCAGTGACCTTGTATAGATTAATACCATGATCATCTAGCGTATTGAAAACTCTGTTGTTTGCATAATGACTGACATCCGTAGGTATGTCGTCGTCCACAAAGATGTTTGCACGCCGGAGAGGGCCGGCGCGATATTGCGCTTCGCTAGGTCTGGATGGGCTGCTTGACCGTGACCGTTGTGAAGAGCGTGTAGATGGAGGAGGTATTACGATATGTCTCAAGCTATCGTATTCTTTCTCCTTCACCTCTCGCTCCCTACCGCTCGCCTCGCTACGCAGAGTGGATATAGTTCTCTCCTCAGGAGCCATATCGAGCAGCGTGAAAGGAGAGAGGGACTGTGTGTTTCGGTCATGCTCCTTGAGAGCGTCATACGTAAGGCAAGCGATCGCAGGGATAGGCTTACATCGCTTCGGAGCAAGGACAGGGGAGCAAGAACGTGACCGCTTCATGTGTGTCTCTGCGATGATCTCGGACTCGAATTGCAGTTCGGGCGAAAGAGAGGATGACGTATTAGGTGAAAGTGCAGGATAAACAAAGCCAGGACCACTCGGGCCGATCAATAATCCGATAGTCCGGAACGAGACAGCAATACCGAGTGTAGCCATATATGGTTAGTCTCACTTGGCGCCTTAGGGTTCGTAAACAACTTCTACATGATACTCACGGTAGTACAGGACGGAGTACTTTTCAATGTACAACTCCGTAGACTGATAGTCCAGGCACCAAGTCTTCCGCTTGGTAGATTACAATGTCAAGCTCACCCAGTAATTGGCAGTCTCTCACCAATCAATTTCTTGAATCCCCGGGCTAAAACATGCACTGCCTCCTTCGGTCCCCACTATCTAAGTACACCGTATGCATCTACAGGACAACCTCCCTCGACTTTCTCGGCTTCCTATCTCCCTGACTCTGACCGTGGGGTCTTTTTTCCTCCTGTCAATTTCTGTTCCAAGGTGGTCAAATGTGTGATACGTCATGGCGTCGGCTGGGGGTGAGGAGAGGTTTCTGGGCGTCGATTCTCTCCTTGCTGCGGTGTAGTCTGATTGTCTCAGTTCCTCTTTTCTTCTTTTATGTCCGTCCGTATGGAGTGGACTGGGTCTGTTGCCTACTCCGTACGGTGTACTGCCTCCGGGGGAACCCTGCATGCGTACTCCGTGGTCTGATCAATGTAGTAGCCTACGCTGTGCTCCGCCTGGGTCATTCGACAGGTTCCGTCTCCGGAGTATATACTACGTGCGGATGACGGAGAGCTACCTAGTAGGTAACAATGATGATAAGGTATAATCTGTAAGCTTCTGTGGAATTGAACATAACAAGATTAATTATTCAGGGGTAGGTAAGTAAGTAAGTAAGTAACTCAACAGGAGAAATCAGTACATACCTGGGTAAAGTACCCACATACCTACCTACCTCAATCAACTCTATCCCAACTTACGACTTCCCTCAAATCAATCCTTCTATTTTATCACTGCATATACATACATACATACATACACACGGCACCATCATAACGGAGACAGGAGGAACGAAAAGGGGGCCGAAATTACTGTAAACGTCGCGGTCTCTACCCTCCCTACCCCGTACACCGTAGCTACATCCATTCTCCACTTTGCATGTCATTCCTTGGTGTTCGGCTGCCTCATCTAGGCGATGACAGGGGCCAAATGGTTACAGTGTGGTATGACTATAGTATGAAAGGGAGGGGCACCAGCGTGATTCCGATCCGATATTCTGTTTATAGAGCGTTTTGTCGTCTTGTCAGGGGCCGGGTGGCGGCAGGTAGGGTGGGTTACTATAACTAGACCATGATGGGTATTTGGGTTGGGGCTGTGCATGGGGTTAGCAGATCTGTGTCTATGTCTGTGTCTGTGTCTGTGGGTTAGGGGTTTGGGGGTGATTATCTGTTGCTGGCTAGACCGCAAGCTATGGTTAAGCTGGGGATGGGGGTGGTTAGTTCATAGATATTAGGTGACCTTGTAGGAATGTACATACTCTGATACATACATACATGATTGGTTTGGTCTGAACAGGATGGTTATACGTGTTGTCTCATTCGATCTATGAGGAATATGTAAAGTTGTGAAGTAGAAGAGCTCGTGAGCTGTCTAGATGATGTTGAGATCTAACACTCGGCGGTTATGTATATATTGAAGAGGGACCATATCGACCTGGTATTTGCCTTGATTAGGAGATTGGATTGCTCATAATCTTAGAAGTGAGTGATGGCTCTTTGTAGACTTTTTGTGTCGAGAGATCTAATACCACATGGATGTATCAGGTCAAGTAGTTGTCCAGGCATCCTAATTGTAGCTCACGATATACTCATCCAATACAACACGCTACTCCTTTATTATAGTCTTCTGCGCATGAAATTACCGAGTAAACAAATACCAAAATCTATTTGAACAGCCTCCACCAACAAACGCCGGAGCGATGATACTATACTCTAGAAGGTAGGTCGTGACTTTTCAGCAACATCGTTTCGCGAGAAGGTAAAAAAGTCTCGTAAAAAACACACTGGCGAAGTATAAGAGAAAAACAAAGCTGCATGAAAGCAGGAAATGCGAAAACCCCAAAATGCAAAAATAAGATGTCCGTCCAAATCATCCATAGAACGGAATGCATAACCTACTAGCTCGTCATAGTTCATTGCTGGTTTATTTTTTGGAAGTCTCATCCTCAACAAGACTAGCCGCCTCTCTGGCTAACCGGAGATCTTTTCCGACAAGTCCAATGTCCTTGAGGTAAGGGTTGAATGCAGATAGAAGATCGCTAAGAGAGTGCTTCAACACGTCGCGAACGAGATCCACTTCGGGGACCCGTCGTGCCTCCAGCTGGGCCTGAGGGCTGTTTTCGGAAGGGAAGTAGACATCTGTCCAGTGCACGTCCATTCCCTTATTGACGAACGTCTCCAGAGTCAGGATCGTATCGGTGTAAAGGCGTACGACGACGGGAACATCCACCTGGACCTTGCCGTATTGATCTTCCTGAAGACTTGCCACGAGGAGGCGAGTTAGCGAGTCGATCGCATCGACTATAGTGCATGCGGTGGAATTGGGAGAGCCGAGGACGACAGCAGACAACCGGCGGGCATAGGTTTGTCGAAACAGCCAGCCAATCGGGGAGCGCAGGAAGAGGGCGACAAATGAATGGACGTTGGCCGGTTTACCGGCCGAAATGCCCGTGAGAATCTTGAGCTCCCGGTAGGATGTCGAGGCACGGTTGAGGGCGTCACGAGCGCGAAGACTGCTTCCAGGTGACCAATCTGGCCAGTCCGGGGTAGATTGGCCGTAAGACTTGGCTGTTGTGCTGAAGGCCTCCTCAAAATGCTGTCGGCGTGAAGTCGCCTTGGGGGAGGGCGCAAAAATGTCTTGCGCCTTGGGCGCTTCGGTGAGACGGGGAAGGGTCTGCAGAACGGGAGGAGGCTGCTCTGGTTGCGACAGCTTCGCGCCTGGCTGAGGTTTCGTTTCTTCTTCGATGCGAGCCGAGATGCCCTTGATCACGTCGCTGGCAGACTGTAGGATTTGTGTCCACGCCGGCGCACCTTCACGATCGATGTCGTTGAAGATCCCCTTACGTCGGTCAGGGAATTGTTGACTGATGAAAGACAACTCCCAGAAAGCAAAGGCACGGACGGCTTCTTTTTTCGCATTTAGTCCGGTCAGAAGGCTGCCATTGGGATCCTTCGCGTCTGCTGTCAATGGTTGGCCCCGCTTCAGAGGCTCCTTGCTGAGGAACACGGAGAAGAAAAGGTTGGCGGTCTCCCAGCAGATGACCAGGAGTGTCCCCGACCACAGAGGTCGGAACACATGCCAGAAGCCGAAGGTCTTGAGTGATGGTGGGTCTGCGGCGGATTGCGGGAAATTCCAGAACAGTTTGGCGAAGAACATGGCGAAGCTCCAAGCTGTGCGCCTAAAGAAGATCACGTATAAGAAAGGCAATATAGCGGTGACCTTGATCACTCGCTTGGCTGTATCAACGAATATTCGAGGTAGCGCCAGTTGAATCTGCTTGGAAATCGGCGAGACGGGATGTCTCCTCTGGTCAGCAGCACCAGTGGCTGGTTTGGCAACGGGAATGGGGATGAGATCGAAATCATAGTAGAAGTGTATCGCCGACTGCACAACTGCTAAGGCAAAATTGCTGGCGTAAAAGTAGACCGTCTGCTCGTTCAAGGACACTCTTTCGTGGGGCCTAATCGTCTGTCGTTCAGAAACTGTCCAACATCCCAATGGAGCGCTGTGTAGCAGGGATAATAACAACGTACCTTGCTTGGTTCACCCATTCCAGATTTGCGCTTCGAGGAGAGGACCACTTATAGATTTCACTGAACCACCAGGCCGAGAAGAGATACCATCCTGTAGTCTGGATCGCCTTGAACGGGAGGGAATCTTGCAGAGTGAAAAGCGGAGAGGTGGTGGTTCTCGAACCAATGTGCATCTGCCCAACACGCAGGACGAAGACAACGAGGCTAGAGACGAACAAAAGGACCGTACGGATACCACATCCTCCAATTGGAAACCATGACCATAGGACTAGATGCGAAAGAAAATTAGCGATCCATCAACGACTCGACGCCGTATTTTTTTGGGGTCTTTCCATCGGCGCTTGTCAGATGCGCTACTTACAAGATGATTTATCACCAATGAGAAATGCAACTAGATAATTGACAAGCAGCGCCAAAGCTGAAGCATGAACAAATCTTCGATGCAGGGCAGACGTCAAAATGCGCCGGTATGGGCGCGGCCCGCCGGCAGCCATGATGGGAAATTAAGCGAAGGACTGCAAGGTCTCCAGATTAGAGAGGAGGTTGAGACCAATTCACAGCATGATCAGCCGAAGAGCGACACGGAGAGAATGACAGGGTGTGAATGAGCTGTGACCCGGAGGCGCGGGGAGCATGCGACAAGGTGAAATAAAGCTTTTTGGATCGAAGCTCGGGAGAAGCAAAGCATCAAAACACACCAGCCACATTCACACCGCCCGCCCTTCTCAGGTGACCATCCGCCACAGAATTGCATCATGTGATGGTAGCCTGCAATTCCGGGCATCAACCCCAGGCAACGCCCGTGTTGACGCTACTCCTCTCCTCTCTTCAATCTACCCTTCGCAACTCTCGAGTCCCCACCGACTAAACCCATCATGTCTTTCGACCGCTTGAACTCGCTGGAGTCCCAGCCTACTACTATGCGCCGGTCCGACGATCCGCAGTATCGCGATGACCCCGAATTCTACCGTCTCACTGAGAACCTCTCTAACCAGCTGTTCGGCCTAACCTCCAACATCACCCGGTTATCGGATCAGATCGCCCTGCTAGGCACGAGGAGAGACACCGAACGAGTGCGCGAAAGAGTCCATAATCTCCTTGAACAGGCTCGGTCGGGTTTCAAGGAAGTCGGAGAGGGGATCAAGAAGGTTCAGACATGGGAGGACGTCAACGTACGTTAGACCCGCATGACAGCCCCCTTCATCTTTGCCATGTGATTGACCCATACCATCTAGCCATCCCAAAAATGGACGCAGCAAAAGCTGTCTTCCGAGTTCAAGGCCACCCTAGAAGAATTCCAAACTGTCCAGCGCCGTGCTCTAGAGAAACAACGGGCCTCTGCAGTAGCGGCGCGCACTGCTGTGGATGAGGGTGATGTACCACCCGAAGATGCCGAGGCATACCAACAGCAACAAGTACAGCAACTGGAACAACAGCCCCGACTGGCGAACCAAGACGAGGTGGATTTCCAGGAGACCTTGATCATCGAACGTGAAGCCGAGATTCGCAACATCGAGCAAAGCGTTGGGGAGCTCAACGAATTGTTCCGCGACGTCGCCCATATTGTCCACGAACAAGGCGGCCAGCTCGATATAATCAGTGAGAATGTTGAGCGCGTCAACAACGACACTCGAGGCGCAAATGTCGAGTTACGCGGGGCCAGCCGGCATCAGAAGAATGCACGGAACAAGGCCTGCTGCCTGCTTGTCATTCTTGCAGTCATCCTCCTCATTATTGTGCTGGCAGCCACTCTTGGTTGAGATTTGTTGGTTACATGCTTGAATTGCTCGACTGAGCCCTTTGCCGCGCATCTGCGATGTGTTTTGATATTATAGTTTTTTCTCTTTCCTTCATGATATCCTCGGATGTACGGTTATGTGTACCCCCACACTTTGCTTTTCTTTTGCGATTGGTCTTGTTGTCTAGTTTGGTCTCCCCTATACGGACTTTTCATTTATCTTATGACCGGCGGGCGTTATAATGAGGGAAGTGCTATCTGCATTTGTTGTTCTTCGATCGTCGTCGCTCTTCTAGAGACGAGTATCATACATAGCTTCTGTGTTATACAAGACTTTATACATCAGGATCATTGCCCAAACCCGAAACCCAAAACTCCAGTTTCGCCATCTATATGTGCATCATGCAAAGAGAGGTGGACGGCGCGAGCTGCTTTCTAGAGTCCCGCAAACCGGCTAAACCTCAACCTGCAGCCCTCCCAGCTGTTCAGTTTCGGTCGAACGTCCAAGTAGAAACTCAACTTGCCTGGCCCAGCGTTGGCTGCCAGACCCCCCGAGGAACTACCGCCCGATGATTTCCCCTGGTAGAAATCAATCACATACTCGATTCTCTCTCCACCGCACCTTTCCACCACCCAATCATGTCGGTCAAAAGGTAGCTGATACCCCAGGAGACTGTTCACGCGAGCGCGCGGACTCAGGAACTGGGGATCCGTACCCAAGCCTCGGAAAGAGTACAGTCGCGGACCTCCACATTTCTTGCTTCCGGGGTCTGACCTGGGACCCTGTTTCTCCCATTCGAGAATCTGATGCCAGGCGCGCTCATTGACAGCATTGTGGATTGGAATGATTGATGCCACTGAGGTGGCTAACTCAGATGCGGAGTTGGTGGATGAAGGCGTGTTCCCCTTGCGCATCAGCGCTTCAAAAAACTGACGTTCGGAGGGATAGATCCAGTTCCCGGTATTCTGATCATGGCCCGTTTCGGTCTCCGCGTTCGATGGCGTTCCATGCGATGGAACAGACGCGGCGGCATATGGTGACGGCGCTTGACCGGCGGCCTCGGGGGATGGTTTCGTTGTGGTGGTATCGATGGCCCGGGGTATCGTGCTTATTTCGCGATCAGTGGACAGCGGGCGTTGTAATTTCTCCTTGGGTTTCTCATCGTCCGGAGGCATCGGATGGGGAGCACCGCCCGAAGCCTTGTGTTGTTGCAACCAGATCTCCCTGGTTTTGTGATCCACTGGACATGTTGCCGGCTGGGAGGGCTCAGGAGGAGGGGGCGACGGAGTGCTTGCACCGGCTCCCATTGTGGGCGTGGAGAGGAATCTTGCGACTGACAAGAGAGATTGAGGACGAGTGGAAAAAGATAGGAAGAGAGAACAAACGACGGATTATTAATTGCGACTCTGGGAAATCCAATGTGGTAGGCGGTGGAGAGTTTCTTGTTCCTCACCGCCCTTGGGGCCCAACGGATTTCCCGACCGGGTAATCCTATTGTCTTCATCTTTCCCCCCTTTGCGCTGCCTGCCCCTCCTGCCTCATTTCTCGCTGCAATTTCACTCGACAGACTCACCATGGCCGCTTCTTCGCAGAACAGCCAGGTTTTCCGTGCCACTACCACGGCTCCCGTTAACATTGCCGTGATCAAGTAAGTTTATCGATCCTTTAGGCATATTTACCCCTCTTCAAATCAGTACGGGTGTTTTGCTGGGTTTCCGGTAGTGTTAACCAATATCTGTATAGATACTGGGGAAAGAGAGATGCCACCCTGAACCTCCCCACTAATTCTTCCCTCTCCGTCACCCTGTCCCAGCGCTCCCTCCGCACTCTCACCACCGCCTCCTGCTCTGCCAAATACCCCACCGCGGATGAACTCATTCTCAATGGCAAGCCTCAGGACATCCAATCCTCCAAGCGTACCCTCGCTTGTCTCTCGAACCTGCGCTCGCTCCGTCAGGCTCTGGAAGCTGCGGATGCATCTCTCCCGAAATTGTCGGCTCTTCCCCTCCGCATCGTGTCGGAGAACAACTTCCCTACCGCTGCCGGTCTCGCCAGCTCTGCTGCCGGCTTCGCTGCTCTTGTTCGGGCCGTTGCCGACCTATACCAACTCCCCCAGTCCCCCCGCGATCTCAGCCGTATTGCTCGCCAAGGATCTGGCTCCGCTTGCCGGTCTCTGATGGGTGGCTACGTGGCGTGGCGCGCTGGTGACCTCACCGATGGAAGCGACAGTCTGGCCGAAGAGGTTGCGCCTGCCTCGCACTGGCCCGAGATGCGTGCGGCCGTTCTGGTGGTCAGCGCCGAGAAGAAGGATGTGCCTAGCACCGAGGGAATGCAGACCACGGTCGCTACGTCCAACCTCTTTGCTACGCGGGCCACGTCGGTCGTGCCCGAGCGGATGACAGCCATTGAGACTGCGATTCAGAACAAGGACTTCCCTGCCTTTGCGGAGATTACCATGCGGGACTCCAATGGCTTCCACGCCACCTGCCTGGACTCCTGGCCCCCGATCTTCTACATGAACGACGTCTCCCGTGCTGCGGTTAGACTCGTGCACGATATCAACCGCGCCGCTGGTCGCACGGTTTGTGCCTACACCTTCGACGCTGGCCCCAACGCCGTGATCTACTACCTCGAGAAGGACTCCGAGCTCGTTGCGGGTACGATCAAGGCCATCCTCGGCGCTAGCGCTGAGGGGTGGGACGGTCCCTTCTACGAGCCCCTGAAGAACCTCACCGCTCCCGGTGTGTCCCTGGATAGCTTGGACTCTCGGGCCGTGGAGGTGATCAAGGACGGCGTCAGCCGCGTCATCCTGACCGGCGTCGGAGAGGGTCCCATCAGCGTGACTGACCATCTCGTCAGCGAAACCGGTGACATCCTTTCTCAGTGAGGTGTGTCAGACAGGCCTGCATGAAACGGGTTTTGTCGTATTTGGAAAGCCTCTTCTCCGTTTGTGATTCGAGCGCCCTCTTGCATGAAGGGATTCAGCTGAGAGCAGATACCCACCCATTACCATCTTCTTTTCCCTTGCATTCTTTGCTGTCGTGTCGTACAAAAGTGGTTCAACCCCTGCTGTACGCCTGATGTTTTCCACGAAACAGAAATTGGATATGTTTTTTACATATGGAAATACCATAATCTCTAGATTGGTTTTAATTTAATTTTGTCTATATAAATCCGAATTTAATTCTGATAATAAAGAAGAATCATGAGAGGGATACATCCGTAAGACTTTTCAAATGCCTGAACCTATTCTAATCCATGCACTTGGAAGAGAAAGACTTGAATCGGCCACAAGATGAACTTTCTTCCTCCCCTCCTTGCTTTTTGTCGTGATATCATTTTTTACAAGAACCTGAAGGGAAGCTCAAGTTCAACTCAATTTAACAAAGCCGATTGCTTCATCGATTTGACCGTCGGTATTTGCAGATTCTGCGCCGAGGCAAGGCTGTCTGTCGCCACAGCCGCGAACTCATTTCCCTCCTCGGGGTTTTCGTCAGGCTGCTGCTGTTGCTGCGCGGGAGTCTCGACAGCGGAACCAACAATTTCCTCGCGGCTCTCAACGCACAGCTTGACCACCTCCTGCATGGTCTTCTCGACAGCAGCGGCACGCTCACGCATGTTCCGACGCAGCAGCGCATCCACCAACGTCTCGACCTCGGGGATGGTGGTGTTGACGCGCTCGATTAATCGTCGCACACTGTTCACCAGGTACTCTTCCTCGTAGACGGTGCCCTTCTTGCCCTTTGCGCGCTTGCGCTCCTCGCGACGGCGGTTCCGCGAGGACTGGCGCGACGAGCTCGTCTTGCCGGTCTTGCCTGTGTTACCCGTGTACCGCGTGAACATGCTGCGGCCGGCCAGGGTCGATGCGTCCGTCGGCGCCAGGGACACGTTGTCTGGGATGTCGACGCCTAGCTCGCCGGTCGTGGGGTCGCCGCCGAAGTAGGCCAGGGGGTCGGTGATGCGGCGGACGCGCAACTCCCGGATGCGCGGCACCTGGGCGTTCAGTTGCGAGCGGAAGTCAGCGAGGAGGTCGGTCATGGTGCCCATGGCGTCGGCGAGCCCCGTGTCGACAATCTCGGGGATGAGGGCCTGCTGGCCGTTCAGGGCGAGTAGTCGCGTGGCGTCGCCGAAGCGCGAGCCTCGGCAGAGGAGTCGGGCGGCGGCAGGCAGGTCGTGCAGGTGCTCGGCGTGGATGGTTGCGGCCGAGACGTAGTCGCGGCTCTCCTCGGTTAGGGTGGTGGCGAGCGTGACAGCGTGGTCGTATAGTTCCTGCTCCGAGAGAGGGACCATCATGGCGCAGTACAGGGACTCACGCCAGAGATGTGCCAAGTGGTAGCATTTGTATGCCTCGGTGAAGATGGAAAGGGATTCGTATGCTGAGCGAGGATGTTAGCTGCCAGTTAAAAGAGGAAATTTGTTGTGTCAATGAAGAGGAAATCCTACCGATGCCTGCTTCCTTGTACTTCGATTCGTCGTAAAGGTAGTCGGCATAGGTGTTGGTGATGTCGTGTAGTTGCTCAGGCTGGTACTTGTAGAGGTCGATGGCGTCCTTGTAAAGGACGTGCTTGATTGCGTATGCCCGAAGCTCGTCGTGAGCGTTGAGCGTATGAAGATGTTTGATAGCCTTGCTATGCCGGGCCAGGTAATTGTCAATTTCGAAAAGACGTCGGGTTTCGGGGGCCTGCTGAAGCTTCCGCAGGAATGGAACGTATTCTCGGGGATCCTGAATACAGTTAGCATTGCAAGTTGCGAGGGTTCAAGTGTAGAACTTGCCCTTTGAGCTTGCTGAGCGACCAGCAGCGTGAGCTCGAGATCGTAAAGACCCAGCGCATGGTCGTACAGGCGGTTGGCGTCAGTCAGGAAGCACATGTGCTCGATTGCATCGTCCGCTTGCTCGGGGGCTTGCTCTGATTCATCGGTTAGTATCAATACCAGCAAGATTTCCATTCTGAACCTACGTCTCAGACGTGCAACCAATTGAAGACCAGCCTCAAGGGCGGGTGGCGACTTGCAGACGTGAGCAGTGATTAGGTTGTGCAGGTTGGTGTCTAGTCGCTTTTCCAGAGTAGCTAAGAATGCATCGCAAATGCGATTTACTTTGCTGCCCTTAATGGGAAGGCTAGCGGCTGCCGCTTCTTCAGGCTTCTTCTGTAGCGTATCCTTGTAGAGAGTTTGGGTAACGTCCTCCTCGCTGTTGGAAGTTAATACAACATCGCCAAGGCCCTTAGGCAGATGACGTACCTCAAGCGCGAGATGAATTCGTCGATGAAATCGACGCGCTTCACTTGATCAATGAATAGCGGGATGTTCTCCATGAATTGCTCGGGAGCATAGTCGTGGATGATGTTCATGTCCACCATCTGGCTACGGCAGCTAAGGAACGCATTCCGGTAGTCTTTTCTATCGATGAAATTCCGGATGCCGGCAAGAACCAAGGCCCGAGGATAAATGGTTTCAATATTACCACGAGGCATTTGCAAGACAACAGCAAACGTGGTGGGAATGACGCTCACTAAGCGCCCTCCACGTTCGATGCTTCTGCATCTTTCATCTAGTTCAGGGGTATCGAGGGGCACATCCATGGCTAGAATCGCAAGTCAGTTATCTGGATAGGTAATTGTCGCGGTTCTTACTCACCTTCCGGTATAGTCAAATGAACGAATTTTAGAAGGTGTTGGGAGGTGGTAAACACGATGTGGGCTTGGGTCGTCATAAAGGATGTGCAATTCTTCGCGAGCAGGGTTTTGTTCGCATATAGAGCGCCAGTTCTCGTCAGAGACACAAGGACATGCTTGGGAAAGTTAGCATATTCATCGGGGTTCACGGAAACGGCAAATATCACCTCGTCTTCAGATATTTGGGCAGCTTTAGCCCAGTAGGTATCGGCAGTAGGGCTCGATGTAAAGGGGACAATATCAACCTCATCTGGGGAGATGGTGTTGATGTAGGAGTAGGTGATTGGTTGACCAGGTTTGTTAACGTGCGAAAACCATAGAGTATCCTGGCTCAGAGAGGGCAGGATTGAAACAACCTGTTCCGAATCGGCTGCCTGGTACACGACACCGGTGGCTCGAGTCTCCAATGTTGTTCGTTCGATATCGGTACTATTGGGTCCGCTACTTTTGAGAATATACACCTCAGTCTCATTGATGAAGGCGATCTGTCGGGGCCGACTGTTGGGTGTGTTTGACAAGGGGTAGCTCGATTCAAGTATAGGGGTTGCCACGGGTCTGGTCTTGAAGGACCACATATAGATAGAGAAGCTATCCTCCGTGAGGACGGCAATTCGAGTGGTCGATTTGCTAAACGCCACATCGATGACGTTCGAGTCCAGGGCGAGTTCATTGTGAGCCAAGGGAGGCGGTACCCCCGACAACCTCAACGGTGTCAATTTCAAAGTTTCTAGGCCGGGTCAGAGATATACTTTCGACTTCTATGGCAAGGGTCAAGAACTCACTTCCGTCGATAACAGCCACAGCCCCGACATCACCCGGAGAAACTGTCGAACTATGACCAACGTCGAAAACAAATTCCACGTCGAGTATTGAGTCTATCAGAAAGCATTAGTTGAGCCGACGATTTGCAAAGGAACATTAAATACCTGAGGCCCCGGCAACGAAGCGCAACGCTTTCTCATTATGCCATTTGAAAGCAAAGGGATGCGAATATTCAGGGTTGACAACCACGGGCACTTCTTGTTTGAGATAATAGTGGTAATTGCCCATCGTCCAGAATTGGACTCTGTCCTGGAACTGAACGGCGAGCACTGTCGAATCGATGTTCCAGCTAAGATGAATGTTTGACGCCCAAGACGCTCGTTCCTCCTCGGTCAATCGCAAGGTAAATTCGCCATGACGCAGACCATTTCTTTCGAAGAACACAACATCGATCTTCTCCTCGGACCGCTGAATACTTGCAATGAGATTGCCATAAGGTCTCCAGCTCAGAGCTCCCTCCAAGCCATCGACTGGCTCGCTGACACTGTCCAAAGTTCCCTCTCGCGAGTACACTCGGATAGCCCGACGGATACCGAACTCGACACGGTTCACCGCGACGTATGCGCCATCCCCGCGCCAGCTAATCGAGGTCCGTCCGTCATCGTTGCTGCTTAGTTTTCCCTCGTCCACCTTCTCGGGAACGGTTGGGTCACGCATCGCCTTGGCTCTCTTACCCTGGAACTGCGTTTCGCGCTTACCCCAGCCCACCGACACGTGCTGGGATTGCTGCAGATTCTCGGGGGCTAGAGTGATGTCGGCCACATTCTCAAATTCCCTCGTCATGTACAAGAAGGTGTCGGCGCGAGTGGTCAAAGCCAATAGCTCCTCGTCCGGCGACCAAGCCGCCGCCGTGATACCCACATCGACCGAGCCCACAATCTCGATCTTGTCCTCGCCGGGAAGCGGTTCTTCGCGCACGATGACGATGTCGCCTCCTTCGAGCACCAGACAGGCCGTCAGATTGTCGGCAAAGTAATGCAGCGAGCAGACGCGATCACAGGGCAAGTCCGGCAAAGGACAGGGCGCATCCCAGGACGCGATACACTCAAAGGTATCGGCCGCTACCGGGTCCGAAAAATAGGCATCGGCACGCTTTCTCCTCAATTCGATGACCGGGTTGGCCTCTGTGGGACCAAATGTGCAAATGACAGCATCGGAGGCAGTGTCCCAAGCCGTTGCCGTCAGAGGAAGCTCATTCTGGAGCTGCACCTCGGCGAGGCGCACGTTCTTGAGGTTGCGCATTTTCTAGAGTGGAGAGAGTATTGAGACTCTTTTTTACCCCGCCATGAATCGACCGCAATTTGACGGAAGGGAATGACGGACCAGAGGAAATCCAACCAGGAGATCAACCAGTAGTTTAAATTCCCAGGATGTTCAATAAAGCTCCTCAGTCCTGGAGTTGGAGATATGTGGATGGGAAGGAGACCTTTCCTTGGAGAAGGGCGGAGCCGCAAAAGCGATGCGATGCGGGAAGGGGAAAAAGAAAAATTAAAAGGAAAATCAGCCAATGACTTCATTCAGATTGAAGATTGCAATCGGCCCATCCACAACGACTCCGTTTCCACTCGACTTCATCTCTACAGTTTCTATTCAAAATATCACCTCTCGCGAGTCTCTACGGCCTAGTAGACAATTCTCTGCCTCAAATAGAAAAACATCTCCATTTCCCCAACTTGGTCATTTCGCTAGCTTTATACAGGATATCCGACCGCTTCCATTCTAGGGTACATTTTCGACCAATTCCCAACACACCATGGTGCGAAGAAACACGGCGCAACACGGCATTTACCGGGTCTTGTAGGTCTGCCAGACTAGAGGGAAAGCAATGTTAGTCAATTGAGCACCGCAATGCGTAGGTGGGATCGTCAACATACCGGCAATGCCGAAGGGAGCACCGAATCCGGTGACTAAACGGAATCAGGGTCAGCATAATCCATCTCGCACCACCCCGAATATCCATCAATTGGGTCGGCCTACTCATGAAAGCCCAGTATCTGAAGAAGAAGTACTTGGTGTGAGGGTTGAAGGGGATGTTGGAGCGAGGACCCTCGGCGTAGTGGTAAGGGCTACCGAGCTGGGCACGGGTGGTGGAAAAGCCACGGCGGGCGACGAAGGAGGTGGCCATACGGGCCCGAAGAGCGGCAGCGGCGTTCATTTTGGAATTGGACGGTAAAAGACGATCCGAAAAAAGAGAGACAGTCGGGAGAGGAGATGAGAGCGGAGGGAGAGCGAGCAAGCAAGCAACTGTCAAAGGTCAAACCATCGGCGGGAAGAGAGTCGAGGCATCAGGTGAGCTTCCGGTCGGCGGCGCGCCCGGAGTCATGGCACGTGACGCGCTTCCCGAACGGCAAGTTTCCCCGGCGGCGAAGGGCAAATTGCCGTTGCCCTTCCACACGCCGCCTTCCTAAAAGAAACATTGAAATTTCTCCGGTTGAGTTTGAGGCAGCACAAAGAACGCTTCGTCGCAACACCCTCTCGATCGCTCATTTCCCTGCTGTGCCTCCCAGGTGGCTGACCACGGCAATGGATGAGCTTTTCGACGTTTTCGATGACCAGCCCCAACTGGCCAAGCCCGTCGGGGGTGCGCCTAAACGGTCCAAGAAAGACAAGAGCAAGAAGCGCCAGGTCAACGGCGATGTGAAGGACAATGGCGACGTCGCAAAGGTGGAGGAGGTGGAGGAGGAGGCACCCGTCGTCGATGCGACAGTCGCGGAGACTGCGGAGGAACAGAACGAAGACGCCCCGGTCGCCAGCGATAGCAACGACCAACCCGATTCGAAGCGGCCGCGACTAGAGAAGGAAAAGGAAGAGGATCCCGTTGTGGCAGATTCGTTCGAAACCGCTCAAGAGCGCGAAATCGCCAGCTCTGCAGGCCTCCAGGCGGCGAATGACTCGGCGTCGGTGGTCGTGTCCCATCAAGTGCGACATCAGGTCGCGATTCCTCCAAACTATCCTTACGTGCCCATCTCCCAACATAAACCGCCCGAGAACCCCGCCCGAGTGTGGCCTTTCACTCTCGATCCTTTCCAGCAAGTGTCGGTGGCATCGATTCAACGAGAGGAAAGTGTGCTGGTGTCGGCTCATACTAGTGCCGGAAAGACGGTCGTTGCCGAATATGCGATTGCGCAAAGTTTGAAAAACAACCAGCGAGTCATCTATACCAGTCCGATCAAGGCTCTCAGCAACCAGAAGTATCGAGAATTTGCGGCCGAATTTGGAGACGTGGGTTTGATGACCGGTGATGTCACCATCAACCCTACGGCGACTTGTCTGGTCATGACCACGGAGGTAAGTCTGCTCATGGTGATCTACGACTGCGTTTACAGAAGCTGACGGGTTTTTGCTTATAGATTCTTCGTTCCATGCTGTACCGTGGCTCTGAGATCATGCGCGAAGTTGCGTGGGTGGTTTTCGACGAAATTCATTACATGCGCGATGCGAGTAGGTTTCCCCGAAATTAACATTGCTCTTTGCGATCGCTAACAGGCGACACAGCGCGAGGTGTGGTATGGGAGGAAACCATCATTCTACTACCGGATAAGGTCCGATATGTCTTCTTATCTGCGACAATCCCCAACGCCTTGCAATTTGCCAATTGGATTACGAAAATGCACAACCAGCCCTGCCACGTTGTATACACCGACTTCCGACCCACACCCCTGCAGCATTACTTCTTCCCTGCCGGATCCGAGGGAATTCATTTGATTGTCGACGAGAAGGGCATGTTCCGGGAGGAGAATTTCCAAAAGGCGATGAGCACCATCGCGGACAAGAAGGGCGATGACCCTGCCGATGCAATGGCCAAGCGGAAAGGCAAGGGTAAAGACAAGAAGTTGAACAAGGGTGGCAACGAGGGCCCGAGCGACATCTACAAGATTGTGAAGATGATCATGATCAAGAACTACAACCCGGTGATTGTTTTCAGTTTCAGTAAGCGTGAATGCGAGTCTTGCGCTCTGAAAATGAGCTCGTTGGCCTTTAATGATGATTCTGAGAAGGAGATGGTTTCCAAGGTCTTCAACAGCGCGATTGAGATGTTGTCGGAGGAAGACAGGAATTTGAGCCAGATCCAAAATCTTCTGCCGCTTCTGCGAAGAGGTATCGGTGTGCATCACTCGGGTCTTCTTCCGATCTTGAAGGAAACCATCGAGATTCTTTTCCAGGAAGGGCTGATCAAGGTTCTTTTCGCTACCGAGACGTTCTCGATCGGTCTGAACATGCCTGCCAAGACGGTTGTCTTTACCAGCGTGCGGAAATTCGACGGCTTTAGTCAGCGTTGGGTAACGCCGTCTGAATTCGTCCAGATGTCTGGTCGCGCGGGTCGAAGAGGTCTTGATGACCGTGGTATTGTGATCATGATGGTTGGCGAAGAGATGGACCCCGCCGTGGCGAAGGAGATTGTCCGCGGTGAACAGGACCGATTAAATTCGGCGTTCCACCTGGGTTATAACATGATTCTGAATCTGATGCGTGTGGAGGGAATCTCGCCCGAGTTCATGTTGGAGAAATGCTTCCATCAATTCCAGAACACGGCAGGTGTCGCCGAACTCGAGCAAGGTACGTTGACCTACATTTATGCGTCCTCCCAGAGAGCGGTTGTCTAACATCCATCCAGAACAACGCCAGTTGGAAGAGAAAAGGGCCGGCATGGAAATATCCGACGAAGGCACCATTCGCGAGTACTATGACCTGAGGAAACAACTCCGCCAGTTCTCGGATGATATCCAGGCAGTCATGAGCCATCCTAACCATTGTCTGTCCTTCTTGCAGCCGGGTCGGTTGGTTCACATCAAATATAAAGACCTAGATTTCGGCTGGGGAGTGGCTGTCAACCACAAGCAACGTAAACCACCGAGGAATTCTTCCGAGCAGTTGGCGGACAACCAGAAATACATTCTCGACGTTTTGTTGAACATTGCGGACGGACCATCGGTGGCCACCAAAACGCACGAGGACTTACCTGCCGGGGTGAGACCCCCCACGGAAAATGAGAACACTCGGATGGAGGTTGTTCCCGTTACTCTCAGCTGTCTTCAGGCCATTTCGCACGTACGGATTTTCTTACCGAAGGATATCAATTCCAAGGACTCGAGAAACAGTGTGAAGAAAAATGTGACTGAGATCAAGAGGCGTTTCCCCGATGGTATCGCGGTGCTCGACCCGATCGAAAATATGAACATCAAGGATGAAGGGTTCAAGAAAATGCTCAGGGTAAGCAAACGGCATTGTTTCTAAATACAAGTATGTTTACCTGCTAACACGCGAGGGAACTACAGAAAGTGGAGGTTCTCGAATCCCGCTTGCTCTCGAATCCTCTGCACAATTCGCCACGCTTGCCCGAGCTCTACGAACAGTATTCCGAGAAGGTCGAACTGGGCAATAAGATCAAGGCCACGAAGAAGAAGATTTCCGAAGCGATGTCGATCATGCAGCTTGACGAGTTGAAATGCCGAAAGCGAGTACTTCGACGATTCGGATTCATCAACGAGGCCGAAGTCGTACAGCTGAAGGCACGAGTCGCCTGTGAAATTAGTACAGGCGACGAGCTAATGCTCAGTGAGCTCTTGTTCAACGGTTTCTTCAACAAGCTCACCCCTGAGCAAGCGGCGGCCGTTTTGAGTGTCTTTGTGTTCGAGGAAAAGACAAAGGAGACCCCTGCACTGACCCGAGACGAGCTTGCGAAACCCCTCAAGGAGATCCAAGCGCAGGCTCGCATCATCGCCAAGGTGTCGCAGGAATCCAAGTTAGCGGTCAACGAGGAGGAGTACGTCCAGAGTTTCCACTGGGAGCTGATGGAGGTCATCTACGAATGGGCGAACGGCAAGTCGTTTGCCGATATCTGGTAAGATTGCATTTCCCCTCGGACTATGACGTGGGACAAGATTGCTAACGCAGATCGAAAAACAGTCGGATGACGGATGTCTACGAAGGCAGTCTAATTCGAGTCTTCCGCCGATTGGAGGAGTGTCTGCGACAAATGGCACAGGCCGCCAAGGTGATGGGAAGCGAGGAATTGGAGAGTAATTTCGAAACGGCATTGACGAAGGTGCGCCGGGACATTGTTGCTGCCCAGTCCCTGTATCTGTAAATCGAAATCGAATCGAATCCCATCCAGGGAAAAGGTTGTATGTATTTAATGATTGGATTGGATTGATCTTCCGCCGCATCTGGGTCCTTTGTTGGATGAGTGCGGCGTGTGTCGCATTTCCCTGGCGTCGGTGTTGTAAGAAGGAAAAGTACAAAAGAAAGAAAGAGAAAAATGAAAGAGCGAATGAATTCAAGTGGTTATTCAACGAATAAAAATTCTATTTCTGATAATGCTGTCCGTAATTGCCCAGAGGTTAAAGTGTAGGCCAAGAGTATGCAGGTGACATAGTCGTGGTCGATGGAAGATGTAACGACTTAGCAGAGTAAGGACGGCTAACCTGCGCAGGTGGTGCACGTTGCCTCCCGCAACCGCCTTCCCACCGCTTCTCTTCTTTCTTTCTCTCTGACTCTCTTTCCATCTCCCTTCCCCACCAATCCATCTCGGTCTTTCTCCTTCATCTCTTCCAATCCTGCATTTTGTCTTTCCCTTGCATTATCCCGCTCTCTTTCTCCTCCTTATCCTATCTCCCCCCCCCTACTTCCTACTCCCTACCCTACTGCCTTTCTTTCTCCTCGTGTCCACGTTTTGAATTTCCTGTCACTCTCCCGCTTCTCATCCAGCCCAAGACTGTTCCGTTCATTAATTTCTTGTCCCATCCACCGGCTGTCTGTGGTCAGTCATCATGAACAGCTTGGTGGCTACACCACCTGTGCCTCCTCATTTTTACGAGTACTCTCGTCTGTCGTCTCCTCGTCCAAGTAAGATTCTCGCTCTTTGTTCACCGCCGTCGTCTTCATTATTTCGGCCGGCAGTTTTACTGACTCGAAGTTCCTCTAGTGTCTACACCAAGCCACACCCCCAACAACCGAAAACGGAAGGCCGACGACGATGGCAACGATCATGATGGACGGATGTCTGCCTCTCCGACCAGTTCGCCTGCATTCACTCCTAGGTCTCTTCCGGCCACAAGAACCTTGAAACGAGCTCGTCCCAATGTGAGCGGAAGGCCTCTGGCTCTCCCCCGGTTGCTGGAGACTCTGGATACGGATGCTCTCCGGGGTGTCCTCCGATCGATGTGCGAACGTCACCCGGCTCTAGTCGACGAGGTCGTTCATACGGCGCCTCGCCCGAGCGTCTCGGGCGCTCTCCAGGTGCTCCGCAACTATCAATCCGCTCTTCAATCCTCCTTTCCCCTGGGTGGCAACCCCGAATCCGACTACGCCTACAACCGAGTCCGACAGCCTCTCGGCAACCTGCTCGATGCCCTGGGTGATTTCACGCCACATTTTCTTCCTCCCAATGAAACGCAAGCCTCGATATCTTTGAGCTACTTAGACGAAGCCACCGAGATTATTCACGCATTGCCACGATGGAACACCCCCCAAAACAACATAGAGCGGGACTCTGCGTACGACGAAATTTGCAAGGCCTGGATTTTGGTGATTCGGGAGGCCGCTAAGCGCGGCGGAGGAATCCAATTACAGTACGGTAGTTGGGATCAGAAGCTTGCGAAACACAACCAAAACTCCGGTGGTAAGCTGCAGGCGGCCGTTCACGAACTTGGCATGAGCTTGGGGTGGATGCATGGGCCAGACGCCCAAGTCTATGGAAACCCAGGGAACAGCAACGATTTTGGTTCCATCCGAGATCAGCTTCTGTCGGGCACCTACGGACTCGGAACTCCCGTCAAAGTTGGGCCATGGTAGAGCCCCCATTTCTCGATGACCTATCCTCACTCCGCAATTATTCACCATCCCAGCTCATCCTCAAATTCTTTTCAAAGAGCTACTGTGTGGATCCGCGACCGCACATGTCCACGTATGATACGATCACGATACCAACCGCATTAACTAGACAGCTGGGGGTCAGCTTGGCGTTTACAGTGCTGAAAGACATCTTACGTCTTTTCCATGTCTTTTATCTTGTTTTCAGTTCTTCCCATCTCTTTTTAACACCCTATTTTTTTTGGTGTGTCATATTTTTCCTCAAGCCCAAGCCAGACACTTCACTTGTTTCTCTCAACATTCCCCACCATTCTTTAGATTTCCACCTGATGGCTCGGGGTTCCATTATTAGCCTGCTTCATTGCATCATGTCATCGCATTGATCTAAGAAGTTGCGGCTATTGTCATTCATTGATACTCTTATTTCCTTTCTGTCTTTTTTTGTCATCCACAATCAACATTTCGGAAGCTTCGTGAATTTTTACGTGTTACTGGGCCTTTCTGTATGTCTTGTATACCCTTGTCAACTTTTCCTTTCTTATTTGTCTTTTCTTGTCCCTTCGTTCCCTTTTTTTTATCCTTCCCTGTAATTTCCCTTAATTTTCTGGTGGTTTGGGTTTTGTTTCTACTGTTTCCTTACCATTGTCATTTTCGATCTGTTGGGAGGATTAGTTAATACGGCGAAAAAATATCCAATCACTGGGTCGGTTACGTGTCAAGTAAAAAAATCAAGAATATCCCTTATGATTTGCGTCGGTGTATATAGGCAGATGACGTGAAGATGAAACCAGCCAACTCATAGGACCCATCACAGATGCAGGGGTGCGACTAGCCAGAGTGAGGCGAATTGATGGTTTTGTCAACGGGACCAGGAGAGGGCTAGTGCTATTGCAGGTAATGGAGATGTTGATTCGATCCAGGTAGTTTGGTGAAAGAATACACAGAGATGCAGCTTGTTTGGAGACGTGATTTCATTCCGTAGACATGTAATAAATGTATATTGAACAGTTCCATTCTGGCCTCAAGACAGGCTCCGCGTGGTATTAGAAGAAGTCAGCATAATGAGAAGAGATATTTGCGCCTTTTAGTTTAGAATAAAAGAAACAAATCTGACATCGCCTGCTTCTACTCTGTAGAGGTCAGATCAGAAGGCGTTTCACCGTGCGGAACAACCATCCGGCATCCTCCCAGCCTCCCAGCTCTCCAGGCTTCTCGCCCACAGCGCTGACCTCGATCTCGCTCGCAATAGATGCCCCGTCATCATTATCCTCTAACGTATCGCCGCCATAGCTTTCGCCGATCATCAACGGCTCCTCGGTCGTTATTTCCACATGTTTTGACGGACGCTCTGCAGGATCAGCGGAGGCCATCAGTGGCAAGTCTTCCACGCCGAACAGGGTCCATTCCACCATGCGATCAATCCAGCTGCCTAGCCCGAAACCTCGCTCGCGCGTGAGACGCTGCAGCTCCCGCTCATCCATCTCGTCCTCCGAGTCCCAGGACGCGTCCGACTCGGACGTCAAATCCTCCTCTGCTTCCTGCTGGATGGACTCCAATTCCGCGCGGATTCGCTCGTCCACAAAGTCTGGCACCAGGTGTCGTCCTTCATCCACCGGACTGATATGACTGCTGCCAACGGCCTCACCCTTGGCGGCTCCAATCGAACTCATATCAAGACTAGTCATGGCCAGATCTGGGCGACTATTCCGTCGACTGACGGCTCGCGAGCCCCGTCGGGAATGCGCAGCAGGCGTAGACCGACCCGACTTCGACCGTCGATTTGACCGCCCATGCAATCCTGAGGCTCCGTCCCCATCATACTTCCCTTCGGAAATCAGACTCGTCGAGCTCTCCCTCTTGGCCAGCCAACTCTGACCTTTCTCTTCGCGCGTCGACGACGCCAACGCGATCCCCGCACGAAGCATCCACTCTGTGTCTCGACGGCCCGACGACTCAGACGGGTAGTGACCTCCACGTCTCACTGATGAAGAAGTCCGATACTTCAGCTTGTCGTCTCCATGGTGATTTTCTTGGAGATGATGCTGCTGATGATGCAACGGCTGACCAGCCGCGATGCCTTGACCCTGGAGATTGGTATCGCTGAGATTCAAGCGCCCGGAGCTCTTAGTGCGTCGGTGGTGCCGCGCGCGGGACCCGCTGCGGGAATGCGAATGCGATAGCACGCCCGGGGTGCCGGGGACGGAGTAGCTAGACAGGTAGGACGTCCGGGGTGAGAAGGCGGTCTTGTCGTGATCCTGAGCGGAATGACTGTGGGAGAAGTAATCTCCGCCTGCACCTGCTGCGGCTGGTCCCGACGAAAGGTCGTCTTCGTCATCGTCGATGGGGAAGCGAGGCGTTAACGGGGCCAGCGAGATGTGGTTCAGGGATGGGTATGAGCGGCGCGAGCGAAACCCGCCCGGGGAACGGGAAAACTGGGGAATGGCCATGGTTAGTTTTGTTGTTGTTTTCTTAGGGTTGCCCCTTGAGCTAGGTAGGATTAGACTAGGTAGGGGTTGGGGAAAGGTATTCCACGTACATCCATCGGGAAGGGTAGGAGAGTGAAGGAAGTAGATATAATAGCGATATCATGGGAATCAGAAGAGATGGTGAGAGGAAAGTCGTCTGATTGTCGAGAAAATCTGGCAGGGAAGAAGGAGAAACCCGGCGGCGCTCGGTGGCATGTGAAATGCGGGCACCAACGGCTCTTCTTTCTTTCTCTTCTTCTTCTTCAACCTCCTGCCACTGACGAGGTGGTGTGGTTGTCTGCGGTCTGTGCCACGGCCGATCAATGGCTGATGATCGCCTTCTCTACTAGAATGGCCTGATCTATGCTGATGTTGATGTGATATGATTTGAGCATTTCGCTTCTGGCATTATTGCTATGGCGGGACTATGATGATACTTTTGATGCTTTTTAATTTCGCTTTTTTGCAAGTAGAACTCCTCCGTCTTTCTTTTCTTTCTTTTTTCTTTACTTTGATTTCTCTTTACTCAATCTTTCCCTTGTTGACAACGAATCCCTCCAGCGCTGAGATGGCGGCCCATAGACGATTCTCCGCCTCAGGGAACACCAACGACCGTTTGCTGTAGAACACCTCGTCGCTAACTTCCTCCGGGTGTCGCGGCAAACAGTGCATGAACTTCCAGCCCTCGTTGGCCCCGCCCCGCTTGGCAAGCTCCGGGGTGATCTGGAAGCCCTCAAAGTCCTTTAACCGCTGAATCTTCTCGGCCTCCTGTCCCATCGAGATCCATGTGTCGGTCACCAGGACGTCCGCGCCCTTGACCGCGTCCTCGGGGACGTTGGTCTGGATCAGCTTGCCGGGCTTGGGAGCCGTCCTGGCCGCCTCCGCAATGATCTGCAGCATCGAGGCAGGGATCTCGTACCCCTTCGGCGTCGCCACGGACAGGTCGACGCCCATCTTCGCAGCCGCAATCGCCATATCGAATAGCACGTTGTTGGCATCGCCCACCCAGGCGATCTTCAGACCCTCCAGACCCAAGCTGTTCAGGTGATGGGCCTTGGGCGTGAAGGTCTCGTAGATGGTCTGGAAGTCGGCAACTGCTTGCAGGGGGTGGTAGGAGTCGCAGAGGGCGTTGATCACCGGGACCGTGGAGTGCTTCGCGAGGTCCGCCACGTCCGCGTGCTTGCCCACCCGGGCGACCATGCAGGAGACCATGGACGAGATGACCACCGACGTGTCGTACAGGGACTCGTTCACCCCCAATTGAATGTCGTCCTTGCCCAGGAACATCGGATGACCGCCCATCTGCACCACGGCACCCTCCGTGGAGATCCTCGTGCGGGTACTCCGCTTGCTGAACATCATGGCCACGGTTTTGCCGGTCAGAGCGCCGAGCAGGTTCTGGGGGACGGAGCCGGACTTGATGGCCCGCTTGTGCGAAGAGGCATTGCGGACGAGCGCGGCGAATTCGGCGGGGGAGAGGTCACCGATGGAGAGGAAATGACGGGGAGCGAAGGGCGAGGTGGGAGGAGTCGCATGGGAAGAATACTGACGCACAGCATTGAGAGGAAGTCGCTGGCGCAAGGCGCCGCACCGAGCGGCGGCCAGGTTGAGACTCATGTTGCGATAACGGAGGTGGAGAATGATGGTAGAGGACAGGGGTAAGTCCCAGAAGACACAGGTGGACCGATAGATATAAGATTAATTGAGTATAAAGAGAAGGTCAATCGCTAGTCGCCAGAGATGTAAGGGAGGATTTAACCTGACTCAATCTGCAGAAGAATCGGTGACTCAAAAAGCAATCAAGCATCGATAGTACTAACTTACTAAGTTGAATAATGATAATTATTATTGTCCGGCCCGGTCTCACCGCCTTGGCCCGATCGGGGATCTCTCCACACCGCACTTTGTCCCGAACAGGACTAGCGTCATCCGGGACGATCCCTACCGCATTAGGGCAGCTGGTGCGGCCTGGACTGACGGCGACATCTCATCATTCATCCTTCTCCATCCATCCCCATCCGTCTGCCCGTCGCTGCTGGGCTCCTTCGATCGTTAATTGTCCTAGTTCATTCTCTCTCTCCATCCCATTTTTCTGCTCTACATTATCTTCACAGTACTTGCAAACTCTCGCTTGGTTTGATTCCTTCCCTCCCCCCGCGCTGTCATTGTGTTACCTCTCCACATCGTCCTCCCCACATCCCGCGTCCAGCCATCATGGCTGAAGAGGAAAGTAGACCTCTATTAGATGAGGATTACAACATACCTCCCCTTCATCAATCCACTTCCGCAGACACATCATTTCCGTCAGGTCGGGCCGACGCTTCTCGACCGTTCGTACTATCCTCGGAATCAACTCCTCTGCTTCATCGTCGGGACGACGAGCCGTGGAACTATGGCGGCGTTGAAACGAGAAGGTCCTCATCAGAAGAGCATCGTGACGCCTCATCGGATGAGAATCTAAAACCCCGCCGACGCAGATTAGGCTGGCCCCTCTTATGTATCGTCTTAACGTTGACCGCTATTCTGGCCATCTTGATCTTCGCTTTTGTGGCACCGGCGGTTGTGAAACAATACGTGAAGGAGGCTGCCGTCTTCCACCCCACGAATGTGTCCATTGAGTCCGCCACGGAGGGCGGCGTGCAGACGAAAGTCCAAGGCGATATTGTGCTGGAGGCAGACCGCGTGCAACGAAGCTCGGTGCGGAACCTGGGTCGGTTTGTCACCTGGATCGGCAGAGAGGTGGAAACGGGGGAGTCGGACGTCCGGGTATATCTTCCAGAGTACGGAAATATCCTCGTTGGCACGGCGTCGATACCTTCGATCAAGGTCAACATCCAGAATGGCCATGTGAATCATGTTGGCTTTTTGGCGGAACTGGTCGCTGGTGATATCAAGGGGATTCGAGCGGTGGCGATGGACTGGATCGAGGGAAGGCTTGGGCGGCTGAGAGTCAATGGGAAGACAACAATCAAATTAAGATCCGGGGTTCTAGACTTGGGAGAGCAAACGTTGATGGAGTCTTTCGTATTTGAAGGTAAGCTCCATACCCAGAGTTTTCCGGTCCGGGGACGTAGTGTTGACACTATCTTTCAGGAGATGATTTCCCTCAATTACCCACCGTCAACATCTCCGAGTTCAATGTACATGACGCGGATCCCTCGCAAGGGGAGGGTGCTATGGAAATTGACGTCTCGGTCGCATCTCTCATTGACTCGCCCTTTGCTCTCAGAATTCCTCCTTTGGGATTCAATGTACTGGTCCCTAATTGTTCACCTGATGACCCCTATATTTCCGTCGCGGACGTCTCGACCAAGGAGTTCCCAATTATACCCGGCCAGATGAGTTCTTTTGACGTCGTTGGGATCGTCCGGGGTCTCTCCGATGAATTAACCAACACCTGTCCCGGAAAGAATCACTCACCTTTGGACTTCCTGGTGAAGAGCTATATTCGCGGTCTTCGAACCACTGTCTATGTCCGTGGGGCTGAGACGCCTACCTTGGGCACCCCCGAATGGATGGTGGATATCTTGAAAAGCGTAACGGTTCCCTTATCTTTCACGGGACACGCTTTGGATAACCTAGTCCGAAACTTCACCATGTCAGATGTACACTTTGCCCTGCCTAATCCTCTCGCGGATCCCGACTCCCCGGAGTCTCAGCCAAGGGTGTCCGCACTGCTTAAAGTACTTATTGGGCTGCCGAAACAGCTGGATCTCCAAATGGACGTTCCTCGCGTTCGCGCCCTCGCGGACGTATACTATCATGGAAATAAACTCGGTGTTTTGAGATTGCCAAAATGGCAACCGGCCAATTCGACCATCGTCGAAGGGGAAGACTCTCCTAACTTGCTCGTGGAATTTGCCATGAAAAATGCTCCTCTTGACGTCACGGATGAAGACGTCTTGACCGACGTTCTACAAGCTTTGATCTTCGAAGGAGAGCCAGTCCAGCTCACGCTCGCCGCAAATGTGGATGCCGAAGTCGCCACTGGGTTAGGGAAATTTGCCATTCGTGGTATTCCAGCAGAGGGAGAGGTCAATGTTAAACGTAAGTTGTCGTGAAAACCAGACCAAACAAGACAGCTGATCATTGACCCGTCAACAGCGCCTTACGGTGGCACCATTGACCAACTCAAGCCGCAGATAGAGTCGCTAGCGCTAGGCCCAACGACTGAGTCATCGTTTGTCGTAAACACCAAAATCAATGTCACCAACCCTTCTCCGTACTCGGCGTCGGTACCATTTGTGGATCTTCTGCTAGTCTACAACACCACCAGAGTCGCCCATGTTACTGCGCGAGACCTCACGATTGTTCCAGGGGTTAACTCGGGCCTCCCAGTTGACTTAAAATGGAGCCCTCTTGAGTTGGACGGTCTCGCTGGTCGAGTTGCCGGTCGAGAGTTAATGTCACAGTATATATCAGGTAGGCTATTGGTGCACTGGGAGATGCGCTTCGGATCTGACTCTCTCGCGTCTCTAGGTTCAAACACTACCGTCACAGTCCAAAGCTACAATGGAACAATTCCCTCGCTACCGCAGCTCGGGAAAGCACTCTCTAAGCTCAAATTCGATGTTCAGATCCCCAGGGTACCCGTTCGACGAGCTCCTGGCAAAGAGCCGGAAGACGATCAGGGACCGAGCTTTATTCAAGATGCCACGGTATTATCTACTTTCATGGAACTTGTTTCCCTTCATGACGATTACAATTTACAAGAACCCGTGTAGCCTATGGGCATCTGCTTAAGGACTGTGCTTCAAGAAGACAAACCTTTCCGCTTTGGCTAACTTGCAGATTACTCACTAGCTACATCTCTGGTCATCGACAGCCGAATTCACGCTATCGTCGCCTTTACCGAATACTACTATCGAAATCACCTCAATAGAAGCCAAGGCTTTTTATGAAAACGACGAAGAGGTCGGCAGCATCGACTACTATCGCCCTTTCGAGGTACCGCCGGGTCTCTCGCAGACCCCCCGAATACCCGTGAACTTGGACTTGGATGGAATCGGCTACGATGCACTCAAGAAAGCCCTGGGAGGCTCGCTCGCGCTGGATGCTGTGGCCAAGGTTGGCGTGCAGGTTCGAAAGTACAGCGATATCATTATATATCACGGCAAGGGAATTAAATCGCGGGTTCGAATTTAAACTTTCCCCTGGGCGTTATACTTATCTGGCGTATTTAGTTTTCTTTGTTTCCTGTTCTTTCCCGGGCATTGTCATTCTTGGTATCCTCGGGGTGTCCGGATTTCTGGACGGTTGGCGTTGACGGATAGATTTGATGATTTCCTGTCAAGATTGCCTTAAACTTTCTGATGACATTATTTTTGCTCAACTCCAGCGATGGCTGATCTTAATTTGGAATATAATGTGGTGTCGTTTGGAACTTGATTTTGGGACCCTTGCACCAGAACCGTGCCCTACTACTTACGATTGCCTCAATAGGAGGACATAATTCAAAAATGAGAAAGGTCCAAGACCGATGACATATGCATTCAGAGCAATCCAGTTGGGTTTCAACACTGGAGCCGATGGAAGATTAAAAGATACAGGAATAGTAAATAAAAAGGAAAAAGTGAATACAGGAGGAGGTGCAGAATACCTGATTCTCGAAGCATTGGGGGCAAATGTTACAATCGAACTAGCTGCTTTAGAAAAACAAATTTCTCTTCATATCGGGCATGGATTTTTGTTTTTACTCTTTTAACCGGGAGGAAGGGTGCTGGCATCGACGACATCAGCGGCCTCCTTCTCGATATCCTCGTTGGGCTCCGAGAGAGGAGAACGAGGCAGAGCCATCAGACCGGTTCGGGTGGACTCCAGGACACCGAAGGGGCCGATGAGCTTCATGAAAGAGTCGATACGGGAGGGTTTGGCCGAGCTATTGGCAGTGGTTAGCATTTGCGCAGACCCATTTGGTGAATGTTGCAGATACTCGGTGCAATGAAAGAGATAGGAAACAGAAGAGAGAAAAACTTACACTTCCACAATGCAGTTGTTGGTACTGATATCCAAGACCTTGCCGCCAAACTGATGAGTCAAGCGAGTGATAGCATCAAGATGCTCGTGCTTGTGTCTCAGGGCCTGACTGTGCGGCAGGTTGCGAGGGTGGTATTCGGGCTTGCGCTCGACGGCCGCATCCTTCTGGCCCTCGGGGGCCTCGCCGGGGGTGGTGATCTCGCGGTGGTGCTGGAGCAGCTCCTCGAAGAACTCGGGGCCGAGGATGCTGACCTTGGCCAGGAGCAGCTCGCGCTGCACGAGAGCCGAATCCGTGTAGTCGAGCACGGCCCACACGGGGACGAGGTCGTCGAGTTGGCGACGGGCCTGCTCGACGACACCGTCCTGACCCTGCAGCACGATGGTCATGCGAGACAGGTCCTCGACCTCGGTGTTGCAGACGACCAAGCTGTCAATGTTGAAGCCGCGGGCGGCCAGAATTCCCGACACGCGAGACAGCACACCGGGCTCGTTCTGCACCAGGCAGTTCAGAACGTGCCGCTTCGGCGGGTTGGTCGGAGTAACGGGGGTCTCGTACAGGATAGACGAGACGGCCGTGGGGGCGTCCCATTGAGGGGAGGCGTCCGACACAGGCAGCGGAAGGGGGGAGCGGCGGTGCAATGCCTTGTAGGCGAGGGCAGAGGTCGAGCTAGACGAGGCGCGAGTGGTGAATCGGGGAAGCGTCGCTGCGACTCCAGAAGTTTTGCAGGCCACCGACCGGAGGGGTGCCGACGCTGTCGAGGACAGCATCAGGGGGCGTCGGAAAGCCATGATCTCCCAAATCAATACCTGCAACCGACAGACAGGTAGAAACTGGGTGGGAGAACGGGTGGGAGTGAGACTGGGAGAAGGAGGAGACCTCTGACTGGGGAAGAGATGAGGATTGCAGTCATCGATCGCATTTTATCGCTGATCCGGTCCGACGTCGGCGGGTGCTGACTCATGCCTCTGTTTGGCCCGTTTGGGTTTAGCGGTCATGCCCGGCACATGATCACGGGCAGCTGCACGCTTCGTCTCGTCTTCGCCTTGGCCTTCTTTCGGACTTTTTTTTTGGTTTTGGATCGGCTTGTCGAGTATCTGGACTCTGGTGGCGTGTGTTTGATTCTGTGCTCGCTTTACCTGCTATCATACCGTCAATCCTCCTCTACTCTCTTGACCGATCTGAACAATTTCTCCATCTCCATTGGCTCTGGCGTCCTTCTGGTGCGCTAGCGTCCACTAACCAACCGGACTGATTGACTGAACTCCACAGACCTCCGAGAAAGAAAGTCCTTCATTATTGTTCTGGCCTATCTGACTTGGTTTGCCTATCCCTGCAGCGCATCCGCTCTCTTTCCGTTCACCACCCGCTCAGATCTCCGGTCATCCTTCTTGACTTGCGCAACAATCTCATCATGGCCGACGACGACCGCCGTACCAAACGCTCTCGTTTCGATCAGACCGAGCCTGAACCGCGCCGGCCTTCTCGATTTGATCGTCGTTCTCGCTCCCCTTCCTCGCGACAATCCGAAACGACTCGCGCTCGCAGTCCTCTCAGTCGAGAAGTGCGCAGTCCCAGCGCCGGCACCCCGAAGACTTCCGCCTCGGATCCCGCTGCTGCTGCCGGTATGAAAAGAATTTCTTTGATGCGTCATGAAAGGAGGTTGATTTCGGGCAAGACTGACTGAGGAGTGACATATCACAGCTGCTGCTGCGGCCAAGATCAACGCCCAATTGCAAGCCAAAAAGGGAATCCAGCATGTGGACGTTCCTCCCATCCGTTCGGTGAGTACACTACCGCATTGCGACTCGGCCATTGGCTTTTCCTGGGATTCTAACCGTTTTGTTTGCTACTTAGACTTCGAGCCCCGCGCCCCAATCCGGTTCGCCGTCCGGCCCAGATGCTTCAGGGAAGTTGAACGAGGAGATATATGTTGCCGATGGTGATTATATTCGGGACATCGAGATCAATGACTTGCGCAACCGCTACACACTGACTAAAGGCTCTACTCAAAAGATGGTAATTAATCCTGTTGCATCCGCTGATATTCCAGGCACCTTTGCTCGCAAATTGGCTTTTGCTATGGCCGTTTTCTCTCTTATTTGCTTTTGTTCTTACATTCCTCTCACTCGTTTGGTCATGGCTAAAGCTTACCCGAGATTTAATCATCCATAGCTTCCCACTTACCCTCATTTGCATCTGCTGACCTCCGCTGCGTGACATCTAGATCAAAGACGAAACTGGCGCCGGTACGCCTTCATTCCATGTTTTAATGTTGTCAACTTTTTACTTTCTGAAGGAAGCTCACAGCTATTTAAGATGTCACCACTCGAGGAAACTATTATCCGGATAAGAGCATGGCCACTGCTGCGGTATGTGATTTTGCCCCTCTACGGGAAACAAAGAATTTGTCTAACACCAGGACTCCGGTAGAACCCCCCGCTTTACCTGCATGTGACGAGCACGAACAAGGAAGGCCTGGAAAAGGCTGTGGTCCTGATCGATGATCTCATGAAGAAGGAACTTCCCAACCTGGTCGACGAACGGCGGTTCCGTCGTCGGGAACCAGAGCCGGTGGAGCGTGATGAATATGGCCGTGTACGAGAAACCCGACGAGAATGATATTGGGAGGCGATTCGCTAATGTGTTGCAGCGCAAATGGCCTGAGGAGCGAATCCCCGTGGACCTCGAGCCTCTTCCTGGCTTCAACCTTCGTGCTCAGGTTGTCGGACAGGGTGGCGCATACGTCAAACATATCCAACAGAAGACTCGATGCAAGGTCCAAATCAAAGGCCGCGGCTCCGGGTTCTTGGAACAAAGTACCGGAAGGGAAAGCGATGAGCCCATGTACTTGCACGTAGCGTAAGGATACCTTTCCCTGCCTTGAAACCGAGCGCCATGACTGACTTGACCGTGACACAGTGGACCCGACCCGAACGAGGTTAAGAATGCGAAGGAGCTCTGTGAGGATCTTCTGGCCAATGTCCGGGAGCAGTATCAACGCTTCAAGGAAAACCCTCCGCAGCAAAACTACGGTGGCTACGGCCAGCGCGGCGGCGGCGGCGGCGGCTACGACCGCTACGACCGCCACCAGTATGGCGGCAACTACGGCGGTGGCGGTGGATATGGACACCACCAGCACCAAAACTCGCCTTCTGCCTCTGCTACCCCGACTGCGCAGGGAGCATCCACGGCATCAGGAGCAGGAAGCCCGACGGACTACAGCGCACAGTATGCGCAATACTACGGATCCTCCGACCCTTACGCTGCGTACGGCGGCTATCAAAACTACGTTGCCTACTACCAGTACTACCAACAGGCTGCTCAGCAACAACAGCAGCAGCAGCAGCAGCAACAGTCACAGAGCCCTGCTCCTCCTCCGCCTCCTCCTGCCAGCGAGGCGCCACCTCCCCCGCCCCCTGGCTCGGGTTCTCCCCCTCCTCCTCCGCCTGGTGGCAGTGGCTACAGCGCCGTAAGGATACTCCTACTCCCAGTATCTCCTGCAGAGCTGGCTCGCTGACTATGAATTGTACAGGTTCCTCCGCCACCCGGGCTATAGAGCTCTAAAACCTCGATAGCGAACCCCGTTCCCCCTGCTTGTTAGAGTTTAGCCACCATAGCCGTACTGCTTCAGCAATGGCACGGATTCAACGCTCCCGCTTTTGGCATCAGAGACGAGGTGAGAAAGAGAGAAAGAAAGAGTCGAGCGCACAACCCTCATGATCTCGACTCCTTTAAGCCATAACTTCATCGATCCGTGTAGCGATGAAACGAAGGTCACGTCGCCGTTCGACCGCCACGGACGTCGAGCACGGCGACTGCTTTCTCATTTCGCTTTTCTCCCTCCTCTATCTCTCTCTCTCTCTTTTTTACTGTAAACTTATGCTACCTGTTCTTCCATCTGATGATTGATCTACCTGTTAAAGTCTGAACAACAAAAATTGGAGTCGAATATTTTCGAGCTTGCTTTTGAGCCCGACGTGAATTCATATATTTAGGGGGCTACAGTTTGGGCTCTCACGCATCTTAAATCTAATTGTTCAATTCTGTTGGCATTTTCTCTTGAATTCGATCATGATCGCGTTAACTAGTAAAAACATAAGTCCCGGTACACCGAACATCAAACACTATCTATTACATGTACATGGCAGAAGAGGAAGAAGAAAGCCGGGACAAGAGATTCGATGAGAACAAACCCCCCTCTTTCAAACACCAAACGACCACGGAAACATGTCCCGCATGTAATAAGCGACGCCGGAATCCTGGTACTCGGCCAGGTCGTTCTCCGGCGGCATTGTGGCCTTCCGTTTCGCCAACCCCCCGGGTCCTTCTTTGCAGAAGTCGCAGGCAAAGTCACAGGGCGAGGAGGAGGCAGCGGACTCTGTCGCGGGAGCTTGTGAACCCATCAATTCGAGCTCTAGGTCGCCGAAGAAATCCTTGATCATGTCGTGGCGGCATCGCGAGGTCGACTCACAGTACTGGATGACTTTCTGGAAGCTCTGGAGGCGCGCGTATTGGTTTTCCATGTTCGAGAGGCGGTTGCTGTTGGGGTTGGGATTGTTTCCGTTCCCTGCAGGTCGGGGTCCTCCGGCGCGGTTGTATGCGTTCTCAACGTCACGGCGAAGGCGATCGAGCACGCGGTCCCGCTCTTGCGTGTTATAGTAGACGATTGAGGTGGCGGCGCGGCCGTCGCGGCCGGCACGACCGGATTCCTGGACGAAGCCCTCAAAGCTGCGCGGAGGGCTCCAGTGAACGACAAAGCGGACGTGCGGGTTATCGATGCCCATGCCAAAGGCGTTGGTCGCGACGATGACATAGAAAGATGGCGAGGGATGACTGGCATCGTGTTCCTGTGTGGGATTGGGGGAAGTCCACTCCGTCTGGATGCGGGTGCGATCTTGAGAGGAGAGGCCGGCGTGGTAAGCTACAGCGCGGATGTTTCCGTCCCACGCCGTCGACAGCACGTTGGCGAGCTTTTCGGAGATTGAGCGTAGCGAGACGTACACGATGCCTGAGACGGGGGGCAAGGAAGCGGCAATGGTGGCGCCCAACCGCGCCTCTCGACGGCGCTGGATGGACTTGAACCACGAGACGAGGTCCTTGATCTGGAAGTCTTGGGGGTCTGCTGCATCTTCGACGTAGTCTTGGAGGAATCGGATCTCATAGTGGATGTTAGGACGGGCGGAGGGGGTGTTAAAGATCCGCAGATGTGCTGGGTCCAGTCCGAGCAAGCTGATAATATCTGAGCGCACGCGCGGGGTGGCCGTGGCTGTGAGGGCGCTGATAGGCACAGAAGGGGTGTGTAGGACCCGTTTGAACCAGGAGAGCTCTTTATAGGCAGGTCGGAAGTCGTGACCCCATTCACTAATGCAATGGGCTTCGTCAATGGCAATGCGACTTAGCTCTCCCTGGCTGTGGATGGTTTGTAAGTTTCGTCGAAAGATCTCTGTCTGGCAGAGTTCCGGCGTGACGTAGAGAAGTCGGGTCCTCGGATGGCCCGAGAGCAGGTCTGTCATTACTTCTCGTCTCTCTGCTAGAGGGGTAGTCGAGTTGATGGTAGCTACCGGGACGCCGATGGCTTGGAGAGCGTTGACTTGATCTGTCTGTATGGTGGGCTTTAATTCACTGGTCTTATTTGGTGCAAGAACATTCACCCATATGCTACACTTACCATCAATGCAAGTAGAGGTGAGATGACAATGGTTACTATTAGAAACGAACACCGACAGCAGAGCAGTGTTCTCTCAGTCAGATGGGGTTCTCGATTGTATGTAGTGGAGGACAAACCAACCGCCATGGCTGATTACCGCCGGCAATTGAAAGCACAGGCTCTTTCCAAAAGATGTCGATGCCTGTAAGAAAACATCGTGGCCTTCTACGGCTGCTGTAATCACCTCGCGCTGTAGGGGACTATCAAATGGGACAGGTGGTTTGCGTTAGCTAATGGCGGACATGCTGTGTGAAAGAGTTACTACACACCGGAACGACTTTTTACGGAAGACACGGTGAAGGTAAAAGTCCAAATCGACCTTCCGGCGCTTGGTGTTCGCGCTGACCATCTTATTTCTCGGGCATCTCCGAGACTGGCCGCAGGATGAAGGGAAGTTGAGAAAGTTGAGGATGGATTTACTTCGGTGGAAACCGCGCGGCGCGAAGAAGAAACGCGATATCACGTGGGGGTCTAAATGGACTTTGACCCTTCGGTTCAACCTTCACTTAGGGACAAGACAGCAGCTATTTCACAAGATCAATGGATGAGAGAATACGTAGATTCATTGAAATAGAATACAAAGTTGAATAAATATCTGTTATAACACGAACCCGTTCACTGTACAAGATCAAGATATGCAAAAGATCGCCATGGGTTTGCGGCTGGAGGGTATATAACAGGTCTATTATAATGTACATGCACCGAAAAGCCTTCTCTCACCTTGCCCCGAATCCTTCCTTAATTCGGTCTCCGATTGATTTGATAATCGAGCTCTTCCCTGACAGCCTGCACGTCCAGCGCTTTGCGTTTCTGGGGCTGCCATAACTTCTCCATCCGCAGCCAGACTTCCATGACCGCCTTGGGCCCGCAACAGGTGCCAAAGGCTCGGAGAATGATGATGATCATGCGGCGGCCCAGGAATACTCCATTCTCGATCTGACGTTCTAGGACGGCGAGATGGTCGGGTTCGGAGTGATCATTCCGGTCGAGCAACTCGTCCGCATCCACCTCTTCCCCGGTTTCTGTCGTCTCATGCTTGGCCTTCGGCTCGTTCTCTTCTGCCGCTGTGGTTTTGATATTGTCTTCCGCGAGATCACCGGTTTTCGTGCGGCCCAACGGCAACGGGGTGTATAAGCCACTCGCTGGCCGTGTTAAAGTACGGGAATTGCCTGGGGAGCCACTTTCCAAAGGGTTCTGCCAGATCATCGTCCCCGGTTTATGGAATCGCTCCGCATACCGAGCTCGAGACTCGTAGAGGACCGCGAGATACGCTCTCCACGTTTCCTGCAGTCGCTCCGAGGTCCAGCCTTTCCGTTTTCGGCCGTTGTGGGCGAAGCCATCAAAGAGCAATAGATAGATCATCCCTCGAGGAGGAATTGTGTACGCCATTTCCATGTCCTTCAATGTCGACATGAATGACTCCAAGTTGCCGGTTTTATAGGCATAATGGGAAAGGAGGATGTGGAAGGTCCGCGTGTCGGGAACCATAGGAAAAGCCTGCTGCAGGGCACGGTGGTGTTCTGGTAGTCGGTCCTTCAGAGGCGAAGCTAATTGCAACACCTGATTGAGCCTCTTTGCTTTATCTCGATAATCGATAAGCTCTGATGTGTAGCCTGGTCCATGGGTGTGGCGATGCTTCTCGGTCTTCTGGCCGTGAATCATACGACTGTATAATTCCTCCGCGGTCTCTGCCTCCCCGGCGCGAAGGAACGACACCAACAGGCAGTTCAGTACCGCGGTATCCACGATCTCTCCGCTGGACACAAACTCATCAAACGTCCGGTGGATACCTTCGGGATCCTGCAACAACCCGTGGTAGTAGATCTTGGAAACCTTTCCCGTGCGACCAAAACTAATCTTTCGCCTCGTCATCTCCTCCACAAGGCGGTCCGCCACGGTGAATTGGCCTGCTTTGATGGCGATGTCGAATAAAATGGTGAAAACAACCGCGTCCCCCCGGATCCCACCTAAATGTTCCATCTGTTGCCAAATTCCGATCGATCTCACAAGATCCGCCTTGATCACTGTCCCCGATGCTCGGCCTGCCAGGTGAATCGCGGAGCTCCACAATGACCGAGACATGGGTAGCTTGGAGGCGACCATATCCTCCACTAAAGCGAGGTAGCGGCGGGCATCCACCCAGCGACGATTCGGAGGGTTGGCGAATCGTCGCAATAAGGTGCCTCGTGAGCGCTTGGAGAGGTGCGCCACTCCCGGATGAGGAAGGTCTCTGTATAAGCGAAAGATATAATGGGTGGATTTCGTTTCATCCCACAGAGCGTCAAGCAGCTTCTGAACCGCCAGGATGTCGGTCGCATCTTGTCTCCCATCCGCACTGGGTGGCCGCGGTTCCGACCACCTATCATCTATGACGGTCTTCACAGCTGAGTCGCAGTCAAGTGATTTCCCGAATGCCTCAGCAAATAGCTTGTTTGTCGATCCCAGTAGAGATACCCGGGGGCTTTCCCTCCCTTTGTAGCGATAACTGACCGGTTCACTCGTCTCTTTCGCCGGCCGCTCCCCTGCTTGATCCTCCGGGATAGGATTACTGTCCGCGCCATGATCCGAATCACCAAAACTCACGCTAGATATCGGTGGTCTAGGATGCGAGTCCTTCGAGACACACTCCTGTCGATTTTCGCCCGCATCTGGGCGTCGATTCGATTCCTTGCCGTGTGTAGCCGACGGCGTCTCCGGGTTTCCTTTCGATAAGAGCGTTGGCTCATCTTCGTCATCTTTCACCCGCTGCGCGACTCCAGAGCCAAACATCCGGTAGGGTTTCGAGCCCGGCACTACCCCCAGATGCCGACCTGGTAACTCGAGATACTCCAGACGTTGTCGTGGTGCCTGCCGGGTGGTTACTGACCTCCGCTGCTGCTGCTGCCCACCCCCATGCCCCCCGGACGTCTTCGTCGCAATGGTCGACAGCCCTCTGCCTCGAGGGGAATGCTCATGGCAGTACCCGGCCAAGACCAAGGAGCCGACAAAAAGGTCGGCTATAGAGGCAACCGTCGGGCGAGGGCGTCTGGACTTGAATCTTCGGACGGACGCGGAGGCATTGTGGGCGAATGGCTCCGGGGTAGCCATGAAGCTTCGTTGGAGGGGTAAGCGCGTATCCAGTCCCTGCGAGGACGGTAATCGCAGGTTTGGCGAGCTCTGGGACCTATTGGGAGGAGGCATGAGATGGCAGACATCGTGGCATCGAATTAGCCCTGCATGTCCCGAAAAGGACTCGAACAGCTTGACAAAGGAAGAGCCGACGGGCTCTTCCAGAGAAAGGGATTGAGAGAGAGGAAGAAGAAGTGGAGAGGTGGGGGGGAGGAGGAAGAGGGAGAGGGAGAGGAGAGAGCGAGAAAATGAAGAGAAGGAGCGAGAGATGTTATGTTTCTTTTTCTGCCGGCGTCTCTTTTGCAGAGCGGAGCCGCCGTCGACCCAATCGGAGGGCGGCATTGCCAATCTCTCTTTTTCACCCGCCGAACTTCTGCTTCCCCGTTCCCTTCTCTCTCTTCCGTCTCGTCCTTCCTCCCTCCAATTCTCGCCATTCGCCATGGGTAGATACAATCTCACGGCTCTGCGCGTGCGCCAGACCGCCATCCAGCAGAAGGCCGCCGGCAAGATCTCGAGGACACCTCCCTGGGTGGCCGCCGTCGCCGATATCCCTCCGACCCAGGTTCTCGTGCGAACCCAACCCCCACAGCATCAACTGGTCCAGCAACGATTGAAGACGGTACCCGGGTCCTCGAAGCCGCAGGTCGTCTTCGAAACGCAGGAGAAGCTGAGGAAACCCAAGAAGGCGAGCCGCATGTTCCAACCCGTCGAGATCAAGTACGAGGAAGATCAGCTGCGACAAGAGTTCTTCCGCGACCATCCCTGGGAACTTGCCCGACCCCGTGTGCTGGTTGAGACCTCCGGCAAAGATCATGCTCGACACAACTGGCGCCGGCTTCAGCAGCCCGGCAAAAAACTAGACGGAGAGAGGTATGTCGATTGCCAAAGGCCATCCGCGATTCCGGGATGATTCGGGCCAGAATGCTGACGAGTGGACCCTTTCTTGCTTTTATTTAGTGTGGTTCAACGACAGCTCTGGCTCCTCAATAACGTTCCCAACATGACCAAGAGCGAATCCTACGATATCGCCCGCCGCGAATTCTACCGTCTTCGACTCCAGGAGGATATTGAACGCCGGGTTGCTGCCGAAGAAGCCGAAGCCACCGGAGCCGTCTTTGGACCGACCCGCCTGGAAGTCGGTATGGAGCTTGAGAACCAAGAGTACGAGCGCTGGAAGGAATGGGCCAAGGTGGAAGCCCAGGTTCTGACCCAGAAGGCGGCGGCCTTCGTTGGTGCTCCCGAAAGCGCGGCAGCGGAGGATCCGCTGGAAGCAGAGGACGGCGACGAGAGTACGACTGCAGAGGCATGAACCTAGAAAACGGAGGAATGAGTATAATATTTATTTTCGCCAACTGGCCAGGAGGATCTCTGAATACCTTGCTGGCCCATGTATAGTACGGGATTCTTGTTTATTTTTATAGTTGTTGTTGGCCTTGGGGATATTCTTTGTGTCTAGTCCATTTCATTTTGTATTTCTTTGCTGTTTCCGATACGCCTTGGGTTCTGACGGACTGACGAAGAACATCTACCTGACGTCTTCTAAATCCATTCCATCGTATACTACTTCATCATGGATGATTAACTGGAGTTCCAGAGTGTTGCCGCCCCGGCCAATCAGCGGAGGCAACTCGTTCCGCCCAGTTCTGCTGCCTCGCCTTCTCTTCTTTTCCCTTCGTCTTCTTCGTCTTTCCATTCCTTCCACTCGACCCTTGGCCATTGTTCTCTTTTCTACCTTTCTTCCTTTCTTGGCTGGCTATCTTACACTTTCTCCTTCCTAGGTGATGGTCAATCCCGGCCGCATCTGATCGATCGCCTTGCGCCCTCTTATTTGACAGCGGCGCTTTTTCTCCGCGTTTCACTAGTCACCCTCCCGGATGTGAGAAGATCAGATTCCAAGATCGAACCAACCGACTGCTCGCCTTATATTAATTATTGATCGCCTCGAATACAACCTGTCAGATCGACTACTCCATCTGTCTGCGTATTTCTGTCGGTCGCTTCTCCTGCCTGTCTTTGCGAACGCAGCCTAGTCGATTCGGAACCCAACGCAACCCATCGGGCTGTGGCTTTTCAATTCCAGCCGTACCCTCGCGGTCTTTACCCTCGCTCCGATTGATATAATCTCTTCGTTTCCAACATTTCGATACTACTGCCGTTGCAGCGCCCGTTGATCATGCTTCGTCGCGGTCCTCATGCACGTCTCGCGGATTTCCTAGTTGTCTAAATCGATCATACGAACCTTTCTTCGGATTCAGGCAAGAAAAGCAAGGCACCGAGTGAACGTGGAGAATTTCTGAATTAGTCGGATCGACTAATTTCGTCATTGGCCATGCTTTCCACGATGGTTCGACCCGAAGACGCGATCAGAATGCCCCGTGCATACCGTGGCGAGGCCGATGAGGATGACAGAAGCAGGCGAACTCCGGAACAAAATGGCCCTTCC